CAAAAATGCTTATGGGACTGTTATGCCGCACAGGGCAGTGCAGCTGAAGTGTTCCCCGCTGATATACACTCGCTAGCGTAAAACAACACAGATTTCACGTTTGAATTGAAGATTCGAATTTTGGTACGTTGACTTATCTGGTTACCCAAGTAACCAAAAGTTCTGATAAAGGCTATTTATGGCTTAGCACCTTGGTTGAAGGTGAATTCTAAGCAGCCTCATTTTTAAGTCGTTATAAGAACTTGAAAGTTCCGGTACCATAATTGAAGAGCATTCTAAGCAGCCTCTGGCGGAACTTGAACGGAACTTTTAGAAAATAAATTAAAAAAGGTTTTTGTCCTCTACGACAATTCTATATTTAGTTCGCACTTTTAAGAAAGTTATTTCTAAAGGCAGGTTTATTAATGTGTATTCATTTATCAGCATTAGTAGTAGTAATGGAGCTGTTGGAAGAATTAAACCCAGTCCTTCTGCGTGAGAGTCTCGACACGAACCACTACGTCATCTGAAATATATTAAAGTGAGCTGTTGTCCCGCCTATTGTTGGAGTTTTCTGAGCCAGCTGACTGACTTAAATACGAAACACAACACCTTGATGAATTTAAATTGGTGTTTGCCCGCATGGTATTCCATCACACTTTTGGCGCAGTGGTTAGCAATCGTAGATCACATGCCGAATACACGGGTTCGAATCCAGGAAATTACTTTTTAATTTATTTTTTATTTTTGGATAGAATGTTGCATAAATATAAGAATTATGATTTATTCGGGCCACTGATTATTTCATATTTACGTACATTAAATTTTGTTACAAAAAAAGATTTGTGCGGATTGCTTCATGTGGCTTGAAAGTTCTGTCGGAACTTTATTTGAACTTTATGGAACTTGAAAGTTCTGTCGGAACTTTATTTGAACTTTGTGGAACTTGAAAGTTCTGTCGGAACTTTATTTGAACTTTATGGAACTTGAAAGTTCTGTCGGAACTTTATTTGAACTTTATGGAACTTGGAAGTGTTGAATGCGGAACTTTTGGTTACTTGGGTAGATCTTCATATATTTCGTAAACTCACTAAAGCAGCCATAACCTTCTTGTTTCGTGCACCTACGTCGCTCTTCGTTCCGCCGTCTAACGCTATCTGGATGTCAAGATATTGGAAACTTTCGACTTTCTCCACTGCTTACCCCGCTACCGTTTAGTTGGAAGGGTTGTCCGTGTTGACATCCAATGATTTGGTCTTGTTGACGTTGATCATGAGACCCGCTACAGAGGAGCGTTAGACTACGTCGTCGAATACGGTGGTCGGACATGGCTCCGTTATGCAGGATTCTACATGTGAAAGCCTCGTACTGCGCTTCGGACTCCTTTCCGTCTCAGAGCGCCCCACAAACTTTTGTGATTGAGTCGGCCGAAAGCTTTTTCGAAGTAAATGAATACCAAATAGAGGGTCTCTTGGAATTCTTGACCTGCTCCATGATGATGCAGAGCGTGACAATATGGTACACACAAGATCTTCCGGCACGGCTGCCACCGGAGAGTCGCGTTGATCTTCTCCTCTATCCGATTCAGGATAACTTTGCACATAACTTTGAGAACAACACACAGTAACATGAGCCTCGCCAGTTGTCGCACACAGTAAGATTCCCTTTCTTAGGAACATTCACTAAGACGCCCTGCATCCAGTGGGCCGGAAAAGTCGTGATGTACCAGATATTACAGAATAGTTGATGCAACATTTGTGCTGATAGCATTGGGGCAGCTTTGAGCATCTTTGCTGATATGCGATGAACCCCGAGAGCCTTGTTGGATTTTATACTTCGGATCGATGCATCAATCTCTTGCAGTGATGGGGCTTTGGAGTTGAAGCGAGTTATGCGCTGTACCCTTGGCGGATCATGCCGGTATGTTGAGGGCTGCTTGAACGTCGAAACATGAAGAACTTGTTCGAAGTGCGCAAACCAACTTCAGCTGGTCAGTAGTAGCGGTTAGTAACTGTCCAGTCACGTCTTTCACTGGCAGCTTCGGATTCATCATTTCTCCACTCAGGTAAGTCACGACATCTTTGAGGAGACGAATATCGCCAGTTGTTGCGGCTTTCTCTCCTTCGTCAGACATGTAGTCTATCCACGCTCGGTTGTCCCGCCTGTAACAGCGTTTGACTTCCTTCTCTATAGCCGAATACCGTTGACGGACTTCATTCTTGGCTCCTTTGGTTCTCGCGCGCTCTATCGCGGTTTTTGCTTCTCTACGCTCCTCAATCTTCCACCAGGTGTCGTCAGTAATCCACTTTTTCGCTGAGTGCGCAGATCACCCAGTTTTTTCTCACTTGTTAAGGCATTCTTTATGGCCGTTCTTCTACGCTGCCCCCTTCCGGAACATACGCTGCTCGGATCTCAAATTACGATCTTTTCACAGCTTGATCTTCTAGTCGGCGTGTGTTGAATCACCGTTCGAGCTTTTCCTTCCTCCTCTAGATCCGTGCAATGCGTAGGCGGATCTCACCGATTAGAAGGTGATGGTCAGGCACGATGTCGGCGCTGCGTCTCCATTTTCGGCTGATGAAGATGTGGTCAATTTGATTTTCGGTATGTCCATCACGGGAAACCCACGTGACTTTGTGCACTGGTCGATTGGGTAAGAGCAAACCCCCGATCACCATGTCGTTGCCACATGATTCTGCGAATAGCTCGCCATTTTCGCTAATTTCTCCGAGACCATGGATCTTCGTATTGAAGTCGCCAGTGTAGATCTTAATGTCACAGTGGGGTAATATTACCATGGACCTATTTTCAAGTATAGAAAGCAGCAATATACATGACAATTTCATCAAATGATAGACCAGCAACCTATCTAGCAGTTGAGGATGAAAAACTGTTTAATTTTAATAAACAAAATCCTTGATTGAGCTGAATTTCACGTCTGTTATGACTCAATTTTATGCCGAAATTTATGCTGGTAAATTTACATGATTTTTTCTAAGTGTGTTTGGGTGGTATCCAATCAATGCAAGGATCAAGGTCGATCAAGGGCCGTTCCTTCAACTTCTTCTTCTTCTCCTGGTTATGAGGATTGTAAAAACAACCCACCCCATGGTACAGCATGTTCGCTATAACACCAGTCAGAGCCGTTTCTTCAAGTACAATATCATCAATGTGCTCTGCCTACACACTGCCTACAATTATGTAAATTTAGGTGCTCTAAGATAGACATATACGAGCGATAATTTTGATATAAAATTGAATCAAAATAAACGCGAAATTCAGCTCAACCAAACGTTCTTTCGAACTTTTCAGTCTCGGAGCACTTAATTTTAAATGACATGTTTGCTTCCGTCTCATTCTTTATGTCAAAGATGGATTCCATCACGTGTAATATTAGGTATTTCTAAGCGAGCACATGATGAAATGACAGCGAGAAGGAATTAATCTACGCGCAACAGGAGTAAGTATTACGACGGTTGCTTCAATGGGAAGAACTTTTATGAGGTTTATTAAAATTTAACAAAGTTCCCTTAATTTCATCGTCCCAATCCCAAACATGTAGAGGGTACTCTATCTAACTAATCATATTTTTATTACTTCATGTGTGAAGTTAACTATTTACATAGTTGAAGATGCTTAACGGTATAGTACGCCAGTGTTAAAATTGTATATAGAACGTAGAAAACAAGTGAAGGATAATTTTGAAGGAAGGTATGAATTGAACCCATGGTGAGGAGTATTTCCCATTGCCACCACTGGCAAAAAGAATTCGCTCATGTACTTCCGATGTGCGGAAACAGTTCTATCGATTGTTACACGCTCAAGCTGCTTACGTCAGATGGCGACTTGAGTGTGTAACAATTGATAAAACCGTTTCCGCACATCACAGGTACATGAGTGAATCGGCGATCATTCCTTTTGCCAGTGGTGACGAGGGGAAATACCCCTCTCCATGGGTGAGTTTGGTAAAAAAATGCTCGATCCAATTCATACCTTCCTCAAAACTATCCTTTGCTTGATTTCTACTTTCTATATACAATTTTAACACTGGCGTACTATAACGTTAAGCATCTCCAACTATGTAAATCGTTAACTTCACACATTAAGTAATAAAAATATGATAAGTTAGAGTACCTTCTACAAGTTTTGGATTGGGACGTTGAAATTAAGGGAACTTTGTTAAATTTTAAGAAACTTAAAAAGTTTAAAAGTTCTTCTAGCTTCATGACTCTTCGTTGAAGTTTAATGGACTTAAAATAGATCAGAAAATTCTGTAGCAATTCAGAAACCTTTGTAGGAATCCGCAGGAAATCAACAAAATTCAACAAAATTCAGGGTTTTTGTAGAAGTGCAGTGAATTTAATAGGAATTCTTGGAACTTTGAAGAAGTCAAGCGATGTTATCCGAGGAAATTCATAAAACTTCATCCCAAGTAACATAGAATTATGCTGAGTAAACTGCTTTACAACCGAAACAAGTCATATAAATTTTATATAATCTGTTATAGAACATGTGTGTTCAAAAACTTCGTAGAAGTACAGCCAAATTGTGGAAGCTCAGCAAACTTCGTTGAAGGTCAAGATTCGGGGAGTATGTATTAGTTCAGCATACTTTTTAGAACTTCAGAGTATGATTTAAGAAATAACTGGACTTTGTTTCGCCCAGATGTTAAGAAAAAATCACAGAAAAGGTTCAAGATTTTCCTGAAGCTTGGAGAAAGGTTATTGAGATCTTGTTCAAATTGAGAGAACTTAAAATAAATAAATAGAGAATATGTTCAAGGACGAACGAACATAGGAGCACGTGATACAACGAACATAGGAGTACATGATACAATAACAATGTATCACAATTGTTCTTGCAGCACGAAAATCACTTACAATATCTCACAACTCCCTAGTCTGAACATGGCATACAAATATTTCTGCTGCAAATTTTAGGTACGGAAGCACAACATACATTATATAAATAATTCATCATCCACGCAAATCCCAGTGTTAACATATCGCATATAAACTTACCAGCAGTTCAGCTTTTTAATTGCCGCCAAATCCGATTGTTTGGATCTGGCAATGACCATTTCTTCTGTCAGCCGGGCCATTGTTTTGCCGGATTTGCGGCAAGTGGCTGTCCAGCGTCAAGCCAAAATAATCTTCTACCTCGATGTTATCGTGTTACAACCACGGTTAGTCGGCCACAAGTGCGACCTTCAACAATTCACTCGATACCGCTTTTCGTTTGCTTCACACACACACCGCCTCTTCTCTTCCTACCACGCACTGGTTTGCACAAAATTGATTATCGCAATTATACCTTTTCCCCAAAATAGATAGCGCATTGATGTATCGGGACTTTCGACATTTGCACAAGTTACACACTTGCTTTCCACTTTACTGATCTGCTGTACGCTTTTGATGGATTTCTAACGCAAATTCTTCGCAGCTGCTTTTTCCCTTCTACATATTTGCTGCGAGCCAATCGAATTTTTCTTCACTTCATTCAATTCACTTCACCGATTGCTTTGTCGATATTCCAAATTCCACTCCAGACTGTCGAAATTGAACTGCACGTCCACCTTTTCCACTAAATATGACTAAATAGCCCTCAGCGATACAATCGTTGAAAATTGTAAGAGTGAAATTCTTTGACTATAAAGAAAAATCTCTTCTTTTCATTGCATAGGTATACCAAAATTGCACTATGAAGCAAAAGTAGATAGAGAAATCTTGCCAAAGTTGTCGATCAAGTTTTTTTTACTACTATCCACTAATCGAGCGCACAACGAAAACACACGCCTGCCATACACACGACCGACACGTCCAACGTTGAAAAGTATAATATTTTTGTAAGATAGATACTAGACGGGTATGAATGAATCATATGGCAATCGCTTTATATCATACAAGGCACGGAGAAGAATAAGCAAACACCATGTACAATCGAATGACGGGAGAAACTAGCAGTAAAGTCAAAAATTTATGGCAATCATTTGACGTACCATAAAAGCTTAAACGCATGCGCATGCCAACCACATGGCATGGGTTTCTGTCTTCAGTATTTGTTTGAATGAATTTAAAACCGCCGTTTTTTTGTGTGAGTTCTTTTAAAACCTTCTCAACTCTTCAAGCCTGCTGCTGCTGTTCACAGTTGAAGTGAACTGTGAATTATTTTCAATTTTGTTATTACTTTAAAATGAGGTTTAATTTCGACAAAGTTTGAAAAACATCGCAATAATATCAACATATTATTATTAACCGGATTTTTTTCTTAAAGCAGATTTAATGTCGAGGAAATGCTATTTTCAGGCCGCATTGTCACGTCACGCTGTGTATTACTTCTAGTAGCTTTTATTAGTGACAATATTCATAAGTGTTAATTGGAAAACAAAGTAAATCATGTCTTCTTTCTATTAGTGCACAAAACATAAATATTAATAAAAGAGTAAAATAAAAAGAGTAATCACGGGCCGAAAATCTAAGTGACACATCATGGTCTGCAGTCCCAGTAACAACTTGTGGATAAACATTCAATCCATTCTTAAACTACTACATCTGATTCAACAAGTTTGAAGGTGTCCAAAGTAGCCCGTTCAGAACAAGAAGCTTACGACGACGGTACTTACTCAATGTATTGAGATCTAGAGATTTTCTGATAATATTTTAGTTTATTAAGTTCTAATATCTTTAAGCTTATAATATCGTAACGTTCAGATGAGTGTATAATTTAGCCTCAAAACATGCCAAATATAAGCCCACTCACATTACATCCTTTTGGTGATACGTTGCGTTATTTTTTTAAATTTCTTACGATCTCTTATGATGGGGAGAGGGGGGTTTCATACAAATCTTACGTAAGCAAAATATTGTTAGTGCAGCTCTCCAAATAACTTTTGTAGTATTTCCTAGAATTGCGTTTAATGTTCAATTTGCTGGTCCGAACTTCTGACAGTACCGTAAAACGGGGTAACATTGATAATTTTATGAAGCATATTCTAAATATTTTTTACAGCAATTCAAGTTTTTCACATTTTATTTTTCAAAAACAAGTACTGAGGATCCTAGAGTCAATTCGTTAGTAATATGTTTAACGAAAATTAAAGCATTGGTACTATTTTTAAAGTCTTGTGACCGAACATCAGTATTTTGGTTTGGGGTTACTTTGATTATACTCGATGAATGTAGAAGAAAATGCGTGAAACTCAAATAATTTAGTTCTTGAAATATGAAACTTTGAATGAGTATATAATCAGAAACATCATAAACAATACAAATAAAACATTGAATTTGTGATGGCTATACAGGAAATACATTTCATAAGTGATGGTTTGAGTGCTTTTTCAAACAGGCTAAAAATAACAAAATACCATATCAACGGAAATATCCTAAGCTACAATGATTCAAATTTGGAAAAAGCACAGATAGTAAAATCAATCATTATATGTTACTATCAAAATTACCCGCATTATCAAAGATACCCCGTTTTACGGTACTCACCATTATAGAGTCAATACGAAACTAACGATTTTAAATTGGCTCATTACTTGACTAGCCTATTGGTCCCAAGCAAATCGATTAACGTATCCCATTCTAGTATAAATTTCAGTACTACACTATGTTTGTTTTGATTCGCTATGAAAGTGTGACAGATAAAATAAGGGGTTCGTGGATTTTCCTATGTTTCGAGGGGTGCATCGATTAGATTGGGAGCGAAGATAGTACCAGAGCTGAGCCAAAAAGTTGAGCTCCTTTCTTCGTGAAATTCTGGTCTTAGAGTTACCTCTATGGTCTTACTATGTCTTACAAATCCCCCCCCTATTTGGGGGGGTGTCTGAAATATTGGAAATCATGCTTACGTAATTATTGAATGGTGCCTAAGTTGAGAGCCGGCGTAAAGTCCCAGTGCGGATGTAATAAAGCCAATGAATAAGATGGCTGCCCGGATAAAAATAACCATAAAGTTACAATACAATATCAATAAAATACAATAGATTCTATTGTTGACAATTAATCTTATTGTAATTCTATTGTATTGGTCAAATAATTAAATAGTCACCACAATAGGTTTACAACAAGTTATGTGAAATCAAAATTTTCACAATAAAGAAAACAATAAAACTTATTGTAATAAGATCAAATTCGATCAAAAAAATGGTTACAGTAACTAACAACTCCCCTTTTCTATTGTAAATGTCTCATTAACAATAGATTATTTTGCACATAACAATAAGTTCTATTGTATTTTTATTGTTTTTGACAATAACGTTTATTGTTGTTGCTTATTAATTTATTTGATATGGCTAAATCGAATTAACTTTATAGAGCCAAGGATTCTTGTTTACTATACAATACATCTTAAAACTATAGTTAAAAGGTACAACCAGGCATGGAAAATCATTTGCATTCATTTCGTGCATTCATTTAGATACATTTGCCCCTAACTTTTTTCATCAACAGAATTCCGCAAAATAGCGTATGGAGCTTTTGTAGGTTGTGTTATTAGCTACAACTTTTGTCAGCAACTCAAATCTTTATCTCTTATGTATGACGAACCAGAGCGAACAGAAGCCACTACTGTTTTTCAGTGAATGTATTTTACTTTCACTGAAAAACAATAACAAGTTCTGCCCGCTCTATTTCGTGATGCATAAGAGATACAGATTTGAGTTCCAGGCAAAAGTTGTAGCTATTAACAAAACCTACTAAATCTCTATACATTATTTTGCGGAATGCTGTTGATGAAAAAAGTTAGAGGTAAATGAATGTTAATGATTGCATGAAATGAATGTAAATGATTTTCCATGCCTGGGTACAACACAATAAACACTTTATGTTCCACTATCCAATAAGCCTCCTCCATCAGAACGGGAGCCGCTTCCAGTGGTTTATTTGTATGGCAAATTCACCAACGGGGTCAGAGCGCTTCCATTGCAGCAATGGACGCAAAACGTGGTTGCTTTCCAAAGTCGACGACGCGTGCGTCGACCGAAAGAACTGCTGATGAAGAACAATGAGGAGGGCCACACAATGGTTGCAGCCGAGTAAACAGACGATCGCGTGACACACATCGAGAGTGACCTACTGCTGTCGACAGCCGAGTGAACACTGACATTTATTGTTGTTGCAATAGGTTGTATTGCATTGTAACAATATGTTCTATTGTTTATGCATGGTAAATTTTTATTCGGGTGTCCCGAATACCAAATGGCAAATACTCAACTGAAGTCATGAAATATGGATATCGTCGGAATGAAATCGACAAGTAAAAGCTAAAAATCAATGTCCGCCGTCATTTTGGATTTCAAAATGGTATAAACTTACTACTACTTCACCAACAGCAATGGATGTTTTGATCATCTTCTCGCCAATGGGGTTTATGCGACCCTTTTTTCTCTCCAGTAGGTATCTAAATTTGATTTTACCTTCACAAGAGTATAAGAGAGGAGCACACTGGCTTTTGTTGACCCAAACGAACTGTAAAAGCTAGAGCAAATCGAGCAACACCTGCAATAACGGTGTTGCTAGAAATCATCATAGGTTGCGAAGGCAGTTTGTTCTGAATCTGCTCCTCTCTTATAGACTCTCTCTAATCGGCATACCTCACTTCAAGCTGAACATTGCATTAGGTCCTTAGTAACATTGACAGATTCTCTTCGTCGACTTTCTCTTTGTATCCCCACGGTCATGTAAAGACACTCCCAGGTATTTTCAGCACACAGAAGAATCTTCTATCTAGCATCTAATACGACAAACACAACTCAAGTTATTAACGTAAGAGAAAGTCGACGAAGAGAATCGATCAATGTTACTTAGGACCTAATGCAATGTTTAGCTTGACTTCTCTTCGACACAGCCCCATTAAATCAGTCTTCAACAGCCCTTGGTACTTTTTAATGCATTCGAAATTCAACTCGTGAGCAAAGGATGCGTTACATGTGCTACACCCTAGTTGACAGCGATATGCTTGTTGATGACCTGTAAGTAACTAAAACGCTGTACAGACTGGAGAGTTATAACATGTTATAACGGTTGTCAAATAATTGCAACTATGAAACCACCATCAAGATAGCGCTATAACATGTTATAACTCTGTAGTCTGAACGTACTGTAATAGTACGTTCAGACTACAGAGTTATAACATGTTATAGCACTATCTTGATGGTGGTTTCTGTGTTGCAATTATTTGACAACCGTTATAACATGTTATAACTCTCCAGTCTGGACAGTGTTTAATGCCTTGTTCAGACTATAGAGTTATAACATGTTATAACGGTTGTCAAATAATTGCAACACAGAGACCACCATCAAGATAGCGCTATAACATGTTATAACTCTGTAGTCTGAACGAACTATAAGACTCTTATTGTACGTTCAGACTACAGAGTTATAACATGTTATAGCGCTATCTTGATGGTGGTTTCTGTGTTGCAATTATTTGACAACCGTTATAACATGTTATAACTCTCCAGTGTGTACAGCATTTTAGCCACTTCCAGGTCACCAAAAAGCACGTCGCTGTCAATTAGGGTGTAGCCAGAGCCGGTAAATATCACGGCCGTCATGTGACAATGAAAAAACAAGTCCTCTGACTGTCACGAGACGAAAATATCTATCATGAGCTTTCTTGTCATTTCCCAATGATCAAGCTCTCATGAGAATAATTCTCATACAGTTTTGACATCAAAATGTCAAACTGATTTAGATGAATTTAGGAAAGCAACAGTATGCATGCGATAGAGTGAATATATTTTATAGATTTTCGTGGTACAAGTAACAATAATATCAATATATGATATAAGCGTGATTGCCTCTCACACCAAAAGGCGTGAGTTCAATCTCGGTTGGCGGCGCCGGGATTTTCTGAGGCATAAAATCACTGACCACGCCTTCCTTCGCAAGGGAAGTAAAGCCGTTGGTCCCCCGTTCATGAGTTTATGGGTCGATAGGCAGGGTCCAGGTGTGGGAGCTGCCTCCCTGGCGGTACCATTGGTGCTCAGTACGGAAAACAAGATCGACGGAAAACAAATCAATAAATGAGCTAGCAAATGCGATGTTTAATACACTCTCACGTTCTATTTTGACAAAAAAAAAATTATGAGATTTTTCGTTTTCTCATCCGATGATAGTGGCAGGAGTATCTCTGTAAATATTGCGTGAGATATTTCAATGAAAATAACATTTACTAGCCCTGGTTATGACCATCTCGTTTGTTGGTCGATGGGTGGATGGATGGCTGGCTTCTTGGTGGCTCGCTTGGTGGGCTTTGCCTTCTAAGCTGACGGGGCAGTACCTGAAGCCACGGTAGCAACTTCGATGGCGGATTCAGTCATGATGATTAACTGGGTTTCACTTTATACGAAATTGCAAGTAACAATGAACGAGCTTGGTAAAGCTTGGGGGATTCTTTGACGAGGCTAGTATCCAAAAAAATACTAAAGCTTGAAAAGTAAAATACAGGATAATAATCTCGCAAAAACAATCAACTGAAGACAAGCTGCCACGAAGCGAATTAGATGGATTAAAATTGTACAGCAGGTCTTTTCAAAGAACGTTGAACCAGAAAAGATAAAGTTGGTAGTTATATGTACAATCAAATTGCTCGAAATCGTTGCATACATACGTTAAAAGTTTTAGCATAGCTATAACGAATAAAACTATTAGTTTACTAAAATTTAGAGGAAGTTGAAAGCTAAACAAAATAGTTCAATAGAAAATATAGTTTTATTCTGAGTGTTTACAATTATACAAAATATATACACATCACTGCATCTATCAATCCAAAAAGCTTATTACATTATTAAAGATATTATAAGACTAGCAGCACTATTGAGGCCAAGACGATCAAAAACCAAGAACCACAAATCATTTATCAAAGCTATCGCCATCAATTGCTTTCAGTGCTTCTAGAAGATTCTTCTTCTTCTTCGGGTCAATATGTGATCTTCTATGTAAATCCTTGGAACGACCGTTATGCATTTTGATTGGCGTATCCTGTCCATTGATCTCGTCACAAAATGTATCCAGTAAGCACTCTTTCTTCATAATACTCTCTCTGATTTCTCGTTTCATAGATTCAAACTCCTTTGTTGATGAGTCTCTACTCACACTCGTGCTTGTGTTGGACTCCAAATCGGTTTCACCAGACGATGAGCTCTTTTTTCCAGCCTGGTATTTTTTATCCTTTGTTAATCCACCGTTCAGGAGAGGACCACCCATATTGCGAATTTGTTCTTCTAATTCGCTAATATGGGTCTTGTGCTCGAAGATATCTGCAATTTTACCTCGATTTTTATCGGGAGATGAATCGGGTTCGTAATCGTCGTCGTAGGAAACTTCTGTGGTGACAAAATGTTGTTTCCTTCTTCGCAACAGATTGTCAGTGGAACTGTTTATGTCGATTTCATTCTTCAGTTTGGAAAGCTCATTTTCAATGGCCTCATCAAATTCCGCCTCTTGCTGAAGAGCGTACTGATTGAATTCCTTACAGAAGGATTCATCGAAGGTATGTTCTGCATCTTTTTGAATGTTTTCCTCATTCTCATTTTCCTGAACTTCACGAACCTTTGCAATCGCATGTCTTTTCTTGGATTTGCTTGTTTTAGCAGGAGTCACCGCCGGTGTTGGATCTTCGATAGGCCCCAATGGCTTAAGCATTTTGGGGCTTGTATTGAGAGACTTGTGGTCACCGTCTCCTTCATCCTGTAGCTTTTTCGGGGCGATTTCCATGTTTGTTACAGGAGCAGGCTCAGCTAGGTTCTGTAATTGGATGACGATATAATGTTAGTAGTTTGGAAAATAGGAGTTGAAATTTACTTGATCTTACCGGAAAAGCGGGTTTTACTGGTGATCCATTGGACAGTCGAATCAATTGTCCTGACGTGGGCTTGGGAGGTTTCATCAAATAGCTGTTCTTCAGAAGCGTTGAGGGTGTTCTTTTCTCATAAATCTTTAAATATTAATTTTTGGAAATCAATTATTCATATCTAACGATGCTAGAAATGAGCAGCTCCAGGCGAAAAATAGATTGTTTGAATCGACTATCTCTGATTTGTATGCAATTTTTTTATTGGAAATGACTCACATTTTTGCTAAAATTCTGCAATTTTAGATATTTTTAAATTTTCAAATTAGCATGCTTGAAATTTTTCAAATTTTTTTTAGAAAAAACGGCATTTCTGATCAAAAATAATGTCATGCTGGGAAAAATAAACAAAAAAAAATTTTAAATAAAATTTAAAAAAAGGCATTTTTAAAAAATCTCAAAATGTCCTTACACGATTGAAACTAAATAAATCAATAAAAAGTTATTGAAAAAAAAAAACTTTTGGAATATTTAGAACCATGAACATTCGAAAACTGACAAAAATCGTAAAACAAGAACTTGGGGACCAATTTTTAAACTTTTAGTTAAAACCATTTTTGTGTATTTTTTCACAGGAAATAAATTAGAACGTTTTATTGCTTTCATATACGATCTGAAACAGCTTAGTTCTCTGAGCACGATTTTTTTTTTCGAAATACTAGACTGTTATCAAGATTTAAAGCAAAATAAAATAGCAAATAACTTCACTGCTTGACACTAAACTAACAAATTGACAGCTCACTCCCATACAAAGTCCCACTAAGGCGCACTAAGATGGCGACTTTTGACAATGTCATCGCTCTTATTTACAATAGATCTAGTGTAACAAAATTGATGAAATTTTGGATTTCGCATCCATTTTTAATGATTACGAAAATACCATTAAAGAATTAAATTACATGAAAAAAAAACGTTTTAACAAAAAGTGTAAAATTTTACCAAAAGTTCTTGTCTTACGAATTTGTCAATTTTGAAGTGTCTATAATTTTAAACATTCGCAAAGTTTGTTTTTCTATTACTAAATTACTAAAAACATTGACGTTATTTCGATCAGAAGTGTCGTTCCGTGCTTTTGAAAAATTTCAAAGACGCCATTTTGTAAATTTTACAACATCCAAAATGGTCGAATTTTAGCAAAAATGTGAAAATACTAGCAACTATGCAAAGTTCAGGCAAATCGGGGAAGGTCGAGTTTTTTCGACTCATCATTTGGCGTGGAACTGCTCAAATGTAGCTTAATGACATGTGATTAATTGCGCTGTGTGTACAGCAATTCATTATTTAAGTGAGCAAACCTCACTAGTTCATTGTAGTACCCACCTCAATCACTGAGCTCAACCGTTGAATTTCGTGCTGTGCTCGCTCCAATTTCTGAGCAATTTCTCGCTGTTTAAAAACTTCTTGCTGAAGTTGACCTTTGAAGTTCTTTGATTCAAGCTGTAAGCGTCGTACTAACAATTTATTATCGTTATCCTTTTCGATTAATCTTGCTTCCAGATCACGTACTCTTTCGGCAAGTCTTTCACGGTCTTCGAGGTGCCTGTATGGATTAGAGTTATGTATAGTCAATAGCGATATTTTTCGTATGCATGATATGTATGTACTTACTTATCCTTGTTCAGCTGAATAAGGTGCTTATTTTGATCGGTAATCGTAAGAATATGAGCATCCTTGTGCTTAAGTTTATTCAGCAGTTCTTTGTTCTGATTCAGCATATTTCGACACTTTGTCTGATAGGTGCGAATTTCTTCTGCGTGAGAATGCAACAATTTTGGTAATTCTGCGTTCGAATTTTCATACTTGGATAAGGCAGAGTCTTGGCGTTTCTGCAGAGCTCTCAGCAGACGGTTATCTTTTGTTAACTCCTGTGGGATTTCAATGATGTCAAGTCAAATATAATATATGACAAAAAAGAAACACACAATGTACTTACAGCGATTTGATGATGCGCTACTTCCAACTGGTTCTGTAGTTGTTTAAAACGCAACATACGTGCCGACATCACCCGGTGTCTAACATCGCTACTGGAGGCTATCACTATGGCCGGTTGCCTGGCAGCGGCCGCTTTCCGCCGATGAAGCGCTGAAAAGTTCGAACTCTTATTCGAGTACAAACTTTCCATACTTCGCATAGAGATTCTGGAATAATGTGTAATTAGTTATAAAAAAAATATTTTGAGATAACTTGGACGACTATTTGAGCCGACAAGCAGTCTTATAGTGCGAAAGAATTTTCTGTAATACCTCATTTTTCAGATGCTAATTTTAAGCCTTATGAAATGTTTCAACAATGAGTGCAATAATGATTAATTAACACAATGAAACGATTTTCGTGACAAAAATGATCCTCAATTGATGAAACTCCATAGACTAATTATTTCCTTGAGTAATTTACGATAAAACTAAGATCCGCATTAATATTTTACAACCTATCTATAGAGTGTCTGTTTAACTACTGGTAACGAAGGCTATAACAGTAAATTGGTACGTGCTGCTGCTTAATGCAAAAGACTGATGCCCAATTGCCCATGCATATGTTTGTTTCATAATGAATGTAACTATGAAGGAAACATCGTTGTTATGCGGACTGTTTACTCTGAAAATAAGGGAGCCAATCTGTTGATGGTTGGGGATCAACTTCACCGGGCAATCAATGTTACCATGAAATGTCCTGTTAATTAAGGTGCAATTAATGTTGATGATACTTCGGTAAACAACATACGCCAAAAGATACTTGTCCGCAATGTATATTAAATACTCAATTTAAATTAACTCATCAAGACTCCACATTAATATTGTCAGTGACTTCCCGGCGTTCACCCGCTCATGGTCAGAAAATCTATTTATCTCCCCGCAAGTTGGGAGTACCGGTTTTATCGTTACCGAAAACCGTTAAAACCGTACCAATATACAATACCAAAATTACCAGATTTATGTGGACAAAAAACGGTAGCTCCGGTATTTTTTTTAAACAAATTTGATAAAAAAAAAACCTAGCTTGGTTATTACTGCCAGAAACCTGAACAATAACAATAAACCTTTCTTAGGTCGGAATTGGATGCAAACCTATCTGCCATAAAAAAAGTGGAAAGCATTTCTGCAATATCCCATCAATTATGCCTTGCTCGTGGAATTCATCGCCTTCATTTCATTTTAGTATGAAAAGAACCAATCCCATGTTGATGCAGATAATTTGACTTCAAATGCAGGTATTTGAATTCGTAAATCAATGTTATACACACTTAGATTTTTTTTCCCAAGAATGGCACCACCGAGCAGGTTCGGCATTTATTTTTACTGAGATCTAAGTAAAATTTATGTTTGTTAGCCGAGATCTCGGCAAAATTCTCGTTTGTTAACTGAATCTCGGCAAATTTTTCACTGAGATCCAGCAAAATAGATTGCCGAGCTGCTCGGTGGTGCCCATCCCGGCAAAAAAATCTAAGTGTGTAGGTTTCATTCCGACGAAGAATGCAAAGGAGGATATTTCGTGGAAGAGAATATCGATCTCGGACAATCTAAAACGTTTTCAGCAGATCTCCAACTTTGCATGCTATTCTACAACGATACATTATTGTTTAATTTTCATTTTCATTTTCAAGCAGAAGGGGGTCATAGGGCCAGGTCTCCAATGTAACATCACTGATGGGAGGGAGGAATATGATGATGATGATGATGGTCCCACCTCTTATCCCTACAAAGGTTTGAGCTGGGCGATTTATCTTTAAGATAATTAAATATACCATTTTAACCAGGTTAGCAAACAAAATCGAACTTGTTACAGTTACAGATATAAATTTCCTCTAGAATTTACAGTTGCTTCACAGCGATATAAATGTGAAAAAGCTTAGGCGTCCACGTCTTAGTTCGCCTTTTTGTCAACCTAAAATATTGATAAGTATTACAAGCGATCAAGAGTTAATGAACAATCAACAAAGCATCCTATTACACTAGCAACCCCGCAATCTGATGCTATCATAATTGTCAGCAATGTCAGGAATGAATCCTCACGAACCCCCAACATTTGCCAGAAAACTTACTACTAACTCAAGGTATCTTCCAAATAAGCTTCAAAATTGCATTTTTTTTTTATCAAATGTTAAATTTAGTCCTCTATATCCGTAATACGCACGCGAGGCTCAAACCTTTGAAGACTACTTTTTTTTTATTAAATCAAATATTAAAAATCCATCATCACCATTGTGGCGAACAGAAATAGTTTTGCAATTGCAATAATTATTAAAAAGTTGTTATGACAGCTATCCATACAAAATAATCCGTTATAGGGGAAATGACGGCTTCGGCATGACAGACTATTTTCGGCAACCTAAATTGAAACACTATTTTCACTGGATTTTCTTACGAAAACACTTCGCTGAATGCATGCAAACGATTCTTTATGCTTTCAGCTTCAATTTGACTATATTTTTACCACTGAGAAAAAGCAATCTAGCAAGGTTTTCTTGAAATGCAACACACGCACTACAAATTGTAGCTGATTTCGAGTTGCCGATAATAGAACAGCAGATTTACATGCAGTTCAAATGGAACGGTTGCCAAAGAAAAACTGGTTGCCGACAATACTCGCTCTCACTAGAGAAGATTGGAGCTTTGTAAAAGCGTTTCAAAACAGTTTTTGACAATTCTTTCGACTGAAATTGTTAGAGCAGCTGGCAGCAAAAGATTGTAAACAAACCAATACTGCATATGTGTGGGTTCCTTAGAGAAAAAGGCTATAGAAAGATGGTCGCTACTTAGGTTGCCGAGAATACGTAAATTCCCCTAGATAACTTCGTCAAGATACATAATTTGTCAATTCATAAAAAAAAATCACTAGATAACTGGTCAAAAGACAGATTTGACGTGTGAAATGCAGTGTATTTTAAACGTTTGATATGTCTAGGCATCGAATTGAAAACATTTATTCCTTTAAAATATAAAGAATTTTGTGAAAAACAAGTAATGAAATGTGGTGTATCTATGAAAGTCTTTCAATTCGATCACACAAGTATCGAGGCAGCAAACAGCAAACCGTTAACTACTTTAAAAATGAACACCATAGTCAAATATACAATTCTTTGCTTCACCGACAACCATTGTAAGGCGTCTAGCATTAAAGTTGAGGAATTGAATCAATTACATCTCAAAATCAAACGCATTATTTTATTCTGCAAGCGCTGTAATCTCGATATTTGTGTTTCATTGGCATTTGGTATTTCTGTCGACAAAGAATTCCATACTTTTTGGCAATTTTCTTGATGACATTGTCGATGTGGGAGTTGAACTTAAGGTTGTCATCAATAATCACGCCAAGATATTTAATCTCCCGAACGCGATCTATAGTCTCATCATCAAATACAACAGAGACGTTCTCATTTAATCGATTCTGCGAAATTACCATAAAGTTAGTTTTACTTCTATCAATTTCAACTGCTTTTACTTCAACCATCTACTTAGAGAACGCAAATCTTCATTCAATTGTAAAACGGCATCATCTAAATCCTTAACTGCAATGAATAACACAGCATCATCTGCAAAAAGATTAATGTCGCAAAATCGAAAAACACATCGCAAGTCATTAATATACATAATAAATAACCGGGACCCTAATACATTTCCTTGGGGTACTCCAAGGTTATTCCCCACGGGACTGTTTCCAGAATCATTAAAAACAGTCCGTTGAGTTCTGGCAAGTTTTTCACCGAGATCCAGCAAAATAAAATAACGAGCTGCACGGTGGTGCCCATCTCGGCAAACAAATCTAAGTGTGTGTGTATGTGTCTAATTTTTTAAACTTAGTACTTTTTTTTATAGAATTAATGGCTGTTTTTGGCAATCAATTCCCAACAAACAATTCAGAGTCACAAATAAGCATATATATATTGAATAAATGCTTTAAAACAGTGTACAATGCTGAAAAAACGGGTTGTCAAATTATGTGCTGAAAAAACCTCATTGAGATCGATAGATGCGCCTATACTCCGATGTTTTCTCTGATTTGATTTACATACTTATTAAAAGCTATAGAAACGATGACTGTCTTCCTGATTCAACACTAGAAATTTGATCTTATAACATACTGAATAAGTGTAATTTGCACATACATTGACGCTTTAATTCAACTGTTTTCAATTGATTTAAAAACATGCTTTATTATACGTCTAATAATTGTTTTCTAGCTCCATGATTAGATTCCGTTGCATTTCTTAACAATATTGCTGTATAAAGGTGAATACAGTCAGCAAAATAGCTCTTATACCTCTATGCGTCCATGTTTTAATTGCATGCTTTGTAAATGCTTTACAAGCGACGTATTCATTCATTATTCCACACCACTGTTTCAGGCTAACATCAAAACGAAATTGGTAGCATAGTGGTTTCCGGTTCCGCTTTCCAAGTAGAAGGTGACGAGTTCAATTCCAACCTCAACCTTTTTTTATTTATTTTCTACGCCTAATTAATTTAAATCGTAATCATAGTATCACTCACGACAACCAATTCATCGATCTATTGAAAAGAATAGCCCAGCATCCTTTTCATCGAAATTAGAGAGGTTGAAAGGTAACATTGGTCTCATGTAAAACATCTATGAATGATTTAATAATTCCCACATCTCCTTGAAATAGCTAGAGTTACATCTGGGAGTGCTGATAGGTATTCAGATTCAAGCTTTTATTGATTATTTAGCTGCCCATATAATGTATTCTAGGATAGCTGAGATGACAAGGCAAGCGGCTGGTGACCGGAAGGTCATGGTTCGAATCCCATGCAACTACATGTGTGTATGTATGTTTGTAATAAATTTTCTAGTATCTGTGTGGTGGGTGCGTGCTTAGGCAAAAATATTGACACAACAATCACTAATGAGAACAACCCCTGCTCTGTCCCGTTCTTATTTTCGGATTAATTATCCCATAGTTGAATAATCGTTTAATAAATGTATAATAGTGTCTAATTAAACATTATTTCACATGAGAAACAAGCGTCTATATACATCTCTATACTATCGCTGTTAAGGAAGCAATGATGTCTAATAAACGCTGAATAATCAAAAATTTGATTACAACTCTTCTAATTCGAATAAAAGATTCTCGACATACCTTATTCAACACCAAATATTTCGACGTTGTGGTTGAATAAATTCTCTTTGTGGGAAAAAAGCCTGAACAGAAATTATTATCAAAAATAGTAACAAGTATTATTAAGCATGCCGTTGAATAAAATCGCCAAGAAGTCGTTTCTTGAAAAGGCAATTGTTTGTTGGGAAAATTTATACGTTGATTTTGCTGTATTTTCTCACCACAAGACTTCGCTGAATGTATTTAACCTATTCCATAGTTCAGCTTCAATCTGATTACATGTTTACAACTGAGAAAACCTGTTATGCCAGGTTTTTCTTCAAATCAAATATACGCACTACAAAATACGGCCGATTTCGAGTTGCCGATAATAGAACAGTTGATTTACTCACAGTTCAAATGGAAAGGTTGCCGAAGAAAAAGAGGCTGCTGGAATGGATAGAATAGCAAGCAGCAGATAAATGCAAACAAAAAGAAAAAGAAGTGCGGACGCTGCTTAGATTGGCGAGAATACGTAAATTACCCTACTTCAAATTTGCATAAAGACATAATTGTTTGGTAAAATGGTTAGTTTTAAGCATCTCCAAAAATTTTTTCAGGGATCCCGGGGTTTCCCTTCTTCTTCTTATTCGCATTTCAAGCTTATTGCTTATCGCATATTAGCTTATTGCGTGCTCTCCACTTATGGCGGTAAGCTCCAACTCGGATTAACTTTTAATACCGTCCCTGTTTGGATGATCTCCAAAGTGTTTGCTTATAGTTGTATTAATTAACTCTGATGTCGACAGCAAAGCAGCCTGACATTCTTGATCGGGATTTTATCCGAGGATAATACCGGTTGGAGCTTACCACCATTAGTGTTGTTGATTCACTTCCACAGTTATTTATTGAGAGCTTTAGATGCCTGTACCATTTCTCCATTAATATAATTGTGTGGCAATGGCAAGTACAATACAGGGATATGGCCCAGGGAAGTCGAGAAATTTTCCAACCCGAAAAATGCCTAGACCGGACCGGGAATCTAACCCAGCCATAGGTGTAGCCAGAGGGGGGCAAGGGAGGGCAGTTGCCCCCTAAACTCAGCAACACAAAGGCTTTCGGTGAAATGGCGTTCGGTGAAATGGCACTAAGCCTGGTTACGCCTTTGCAGCCATCTCCAGTATGATCTTGTTTGTAGCTGCGCCTTTACCGACTGAGCTAAAGGAGGCCCAGAACGATAAAATCACGAATCCCGGTATTTTTTGTAAAGTCCCAAAAAACAGCAACCTCTATCCCTGATGTCCACTAACTCGGTATCGAGATTATAGAAACAAAGTAAAAAGGAACCAGCCACCAGATGGAGTTTTCTATAGTAAAGATAATAATAATAATAATGAATTTCATGACTACTGTGCTGGATATATTCTATGGGATTGTTGTTCTACAACTCGATAATTCTATAACTCGAAAATTATATATATATCAAGATGATCAGCTTTAATAGCATCCTGTGGTTGTCAGTTTCGTCGAATTATTTTTTTTCCAGAAACGGCAATAAGTGCCTTCACATATAGCGTTCATCGCTCTCTTCTTAACTCGATATCCCTAACTCGATATCCCTAACTCGATGCCTCGCTTACTCGATATGTTTCCCCATTTCTCTATGTCGATTTTAGATAAATCTGTAGCAGTAACATTATTCAATATGCTTCAAAATTAAGCTTAATTGTGATCTACTGAAAGATTTTAGAGCAACATAATTTGTGAATATTTATATAAAAAAAAAATTAAAACAAATATTTACCTTGACTATGAATACAACATTAAAGATTACTTCATATGAAATGAAACTCAAAGATGAATAGTCTATTGAAATCTAGACTAATGTGACGAAATTTAGAAAAAAAATGATGATTTGTAACTAAATACAGTCAATTCCAAACAACTCGATGTCCACTAGCTCGATATCGAGTTAAAGAACCATAGTAAGGGCCCATGCATTAATTATGTCACACTAAATTAAGGAAAAATTAACCCCCCTCCCCCTATCGTCACGTTTTTCCTATACCTAACGCATTGCTTGTCACAAAATCTTAGACCCCCCCCCTCCCCCCTAAGCGCGTGACATAATATATACATCAACCCTAATAATGAATGTCATGGCCACTGCGATAGCGATTTGATATGGGATTGTTATTCTATAACTCGATAATTCTATAGCTCGATGGTCCCTTCAATATGAAGTTGCAGAGAGTTCACTGTACCTTCCTAAATCGATGGTCCCTTGTATATGTATTGTGTAAGGGAGAGTAGACTGTATTTCAAATTTGCTATCTGCTTCTTTGCCTAACATAAATAAAAACATATAGAAGAAGTATTGACGCATATTTTTTACATGCAGATACGTTGAAAGGCATCATCGTTTAATCAAATTGAGTGCTCAAGTACTTTATTTAAACCCGACAGAAAGGGCAAATAATTGACAAACACGGAAAACCCCCCAGTTAAAAAGTTTAACCCATAACCATACCGATTGTGATTCTGGAACAATTTGTTCGAACCAACAACAGTGCTTACGTGCTACTAAACACTTTCTAACAAAAGGTTCATTTAACGGATCCCCAATTTATCGATGCAAGCAGTGTAAATATTTACGTTATTTGACAAATCTCAGGTAATCATGACATTAACTTACTGAAAACAAAATGTATGAAGAAACGAGACCTACTGCTGTCATGATTACCTGAGTGTTGTATAATAATAACGCACCTAAATATTATTGACCTGTGCACCGAAAAATTACCCTTTCACTTTGCCACGGCAACAGAACTGAGTGCATGGTAAATAAATAAAATTCACTTTCTATGCTCTGTGCACCTATCGAATTACTTAAACTTCGTTGCAACTTTCAAAAATATTTACCAAATGTTAATGTTCAAATAATTGCAGTTCATCACGGCTCACATAAACTCTGCAAAAGTTAAATCATCCATATAGGCATGAATATTATTGTTTTCATTAATGTCCTGAAAAATATTCCCTATGGATACTCACGATGACCGCATACCGGATGACATTTTTAGTTCAATCGGTGCGACTGGTTTCTTCACCGAGGATGGTACCTTTATTCCTTCGGCTTTTCGTTCAACTTCTTGATAGTTTCAGCGGGAAAACCAACTTGAATCTGTTTCTATACAGCACCTTGTAAGCAAACAGTTTATATTATCGGTTAGAAATTTGCATATGATTAGTTATTTTTATATCTTACACATAATCATCGCCCCGAGCAAAGAAGCGGACCGAATTTTCACACCAGCTGTTCACATTTGAGCAGTCGTTATTTGTTTTGTACCGTAACCACGGGTGACCACCATTACCGATTCGCATGCGGCTGCTACTGCTACAACAGGTATGGTGGAATGGTTTTCCACAACAAATTGGTAGCTACTGGGTAGCATATTTACATCAATTACACCCCCCAAGTAGGGTAATGTAGGGTGGTTATTCTTATGTTCAGAATATATTTAATGAATAGTTGAATTTGAATTTGTAGTATTTTGGGCTGGCTGCATCATGAACCATGAACCATGAACGAAGAAAGAATATTAGATATACGTGGTAGTCCAAGCATTATCAACGTAGAATGTTGTAGTGGAAACGTGGAAACGTAAGTTATTTGATTGAATAATTAATTTGAATTAAATACGACGCATGCAACCGTCCTCCGACTCATCATTTTATCCGTTTCTAACTGCACCACGAATGTTCAGCTTAGATTGAGCAGGGTGGTCAACTATTATAATACAACTATGAAAAATTCGAAAGAATTTGGTAGCGATTTTGATTAGCAGGAAATTTCTAAAGTTAGTATGGAAAATTGATAGAAAACGGTATGAGAATATTCATTTCCTTGTGTGCTCAATATTGCCAATAACTGAAACTTAGATGTCCGATTTTTAAATTTAGACCTGGATTTAGATTTAGATGTTTTTAAATGAGAAATAAGCCATCATATAGGTGCCAAAAAATGTGTTTAATTTGGAAATGGGTAAAAACACCCATTGTAAGAATGAAATACTTTACAAATTAATGGGTGAAAAAAATCTCCAAACTAAAATGGACGAAAAGCATGTAGGTAAGAAATCTATATTCATTTATAACGAATTATATGTTCTAGTTAAATGTAATATTTTATTTGCAGATTCATTCAACTGCATTAGTGACTGCAGTTGATTCTCACCTCGGATCTGAGGCTCTGTTGATGCGGCAGGAAATCAGAACAGCTGGAACAAAACAACGCACCGATTTCGTTCATAATCCACGTAGGCCAAAATTTCAAACTTTTAAATCCCTCCCTCCCCCTCTTAGACCATAGCAGACTTTTCTGAACCTATGCTGAGTAAAATTTTCGTCAATTTTTCTTCTTTTCGGGCAAATTGTTTAAGGCATCGCTGAGTTTATACACTTTTAGCGTTTATGAGTGAACTAAACTCAAATTTTGGTCTTTCTCATTGACCGTGTGTATGCGAAGTAAATTGTAAGCAAACCGAAGCGCACCTGGTGGCCAATACATGAAACAACTAGGTCCAACCATGATACAAAGTGATACAAACACCGACGAGCCGACATGCCACTGGAGCATTTCGTTTTCCACAATTCGATTTTTCAAATGAGCGATTCGATTTGTCAAACGGGCGATCAGATCCGTCAAACGGGGCGAGACGCAATCCAAGTCAATATAAATATTACGTGTGTTCGTGTCCTTGCTCACGATATGACGCCATCGGATGAGTAGATGGCGGTAGTGTATAACGTATTTTAAATATGGCGTCTTGGGCAAGAATTTGAATGATGCTTCTATGAGCTGGCACGTCGGATCGTCGGTGATACAAATATGAATTAGGAATTTTGCCAATTATTCAAAATTTTTAATAAAATTACTACATTAATAATCTGCTCACATGAAGTTTACAATTCTTAGTTTTTTTTCCTTTGATTTGTTTTCCGTCGATTTTGTTTTCCGTGCTGAGCACCAATGCTACCGACGCCAGGGAGGCAGCTCTCACACCTGGACCCTACCTATCGACTCATGAACCGAGGACCAACGGATTTACTTCCCTAAATGTCATATTAAATTGTTATTAATTATTTAAGAGAATGATACTCTTATGGCATGATCAAGCAGCTGTTCTGTGGGCAACACTGTATGCTGCAGTGTGACATAGTAAGTCATGATATTAATTTGTGCTCTATAGAATATATTCTACGCACCAGAATTACCAATGATGCCTGCTGCAAAGTTAAATGAGCCTAATCATAAGACATCAGTGACTTGAATAATCAATAAGTTTTGTTTTTGCAGTTAATTTAATTTAAGCACTGTTTAAGTTAATTTAAGCACTGTGGAGCGAAAATTTCAAATTTTGCTGTAGTCTACTGCGCAGTGAGGATGTGCCAAAATTTGATTGTTGACACAAGCAACGGTATCCGCAACAAATAATTTTACCGGAGCCTCCAACTCACCCTTACTGCTATGATCCGCAACCGGAGCAATTCGGAGACGAGCCAACCAACGGCTGAAAGTCTCCTTAATAAAGATATAAAAAAAAAAAACCGGTGCAACGGAAGATGCCGACATATGACGACGACCGGGTGGTTTTAATATGAATCTTTGAAAGCCAACGCAGGAGTACAGAAACTGCCACAGAATTGGGAAGTTTAAACTGTATTGACTTTCAGATGTTTCACGGATTTTGAAGCAAAACAATCACTAACATTGCCTGCTGTAGAGCTCCAGACATAGATACGTTATCCGGCACACCAACAGAACCACCAACCTGCCGAATCACCTGGAAGCATTTAACCAACAATCAATACGAAACTAACGATATTAAATTAACTAACTACTTGACTAGCCTATTGGTCCCAAGCAAACGATTAACTTACCCCATCCTAGTCGAAATTCTAGTACTACACAATGTTTCTTTTGATTCGCTATGAAAGTTTGAAAGATAAAACGAGGGGTTAGTGGATTTTCCTATGTTTCGAGGGGTGAATCGATTAGCCTGGGACCGCAGAAAGTACCAGAACCGAGCCAAAAAGTTGAGCACGTTATTTCGGGACCTTCTAGTCTTAGAGTTACCTCTATGATTTAACGCTCAATCTGGACTAGTTCAGGAATGATTAAAATAGAATCACTGCTACTCCGCCATTAAACATTTTAACCTCAGTCCCCGAATAAAAATCATTAAAAATTAATCAAAAAACTTTATAATTAAATAGTAGTAACATAGAGGTAACTCTAAGACCACTGGGTCCCGAAGAAAATCATTATTATTTTTGGCTCACTCAGTACCAGAACAACGGTCCCAAGCAGTCCCAAGCTATTTCACTCACCCCTGCATGTTCTGCATGAATCCACACACCCCTGATGTTATCTGTCAAACTTTCATAGCGAATCAAAACAAACATAGTGTAGTAATAGAATTTCAACTAGAATAGGGTACGTTAATCGTTTGCTTGGGACCAATAGGCTACTAAAGTGGTGAGCCAATTTAAAATCGTTAGTTTCGTATTGATTGTTGGTACACAGCAAAAAAAGTTGTTGAATATTACATCGAAACTGATGCAACCAGGTCAATCCATCGGTTGTGTAATATCACATTGTACGATGTACATCGATTTTGCGAACAAAATTACATCCATTGATGTAATATTGTATCTGCTTTTTGCTATTACATCATTATTTCATACATCAGCTTGAATTACGTTGATCGATATTACATTTTTTTTTGCTGTGTAGTAATAAGTCATTTGTTTTTAAATAAATTTTATGACTTATTCGACCTTGGAATTTTGAAATTTGAAATTTTCGCTCCACAGTGCTCAAACGGTTTCAAATCAGGTCCTGATTAGCCTCCCAAAATTTAAACTCATTTGGTAAGAAACTGACTTGGTACAAACTATTCGAAGTTTATGTGGAAATTACTATAGGAAAACCAAACTTTTTGTTCATTGTCTTCTGCCCATTTTCCATATTGCTTTTTCGAACATTTCTATAACTATTCATACGGAAAATTTTCTAAGCTACAATTTTGCTCAATATCGTTTTACAACCAAATGTCAAATTAAATTGTTATTAATTGTTTAAGAGATTGATAATCTTATGGCATGATCAAGAAGCTGTCCTGTGGGCAACACTGTATTCTGCAGTGTGACCAACCGGTGAACACTCGTGTTTATTTCAGTTACCATGGAGACGTAATTTGTGATTAGCCCCGGTCCCTTTCAAATTGTATCATTATTTATGAACGGCCTTATATTTGAAATGACGTTTCACATTCATCTAGTCATGTCCGATTTTCATTCGAATAATCGTTTAATCGATTAACGAACCGAAAAGTAAACTATTTATAATCGGTTAGATCATGCCGATAAAATCATTAAAATCTCCACAGGATCATCACCGATCGTTTCAAACATGTGCTGCACTCTCATTCGTGGAAAAATGGCAGCACAGCGAACAAAAAATAATCGATTAGTTGTTAATCGAGTAATTAAAAATGGGACATCTCTGATTTTGGTGTGATTGTTTTGATAAAAATGAGCGCAAAATTTCATCTATTCCGAGGGGGCAGCAAAACTACAAAATTACCTTGAATACGGGGGGTTCTCATTGGATGAAAGGGACCGTGAAAGAAGACACTAAAATAGAAAGTTTTTCTTCCGACCGTTTCATCTTAGTTTTCATCTTTGGTGTGACTACCGACAAACCGACATGAATGACCATACAAGGTACCGTCAAATTTCTGATCAGATCGCAAAACTGACATCTACCGCCGTGTTCGCGAAAAATGTGTATCCTAGCCACGAAAACGCATACAAAATGTATGAGTTGGTTCGTGTCTAATCTATTTCGGGCAAATTATTTTTATCTAGATAACAAATTTCTATGGTTTTGACAGATGGGATCGCTGCACATTTGAATCCGCCGTTATGGATTCTCGATCAAGAGTTAAGTTCAAGTTTCATGTCGGTTTGTCGCTGGTGTGACATAGTAACCATGATATTTGTGCTGTATTCTTCGCACCAGAAACACCAATGTTGCCTGCTGAACAGTTGAATGAGCATACTCATAAGACATCAGTGACTTGAATCATTACTAACTTTTGTTCCTTACACACTTAGATTTTTTTACAGAAATCTGTAAAATTTTACCGAAATCTCAACAGCTGAACGTTCCACATTACCGGAAAATCTGTAATTGAATTTTTGCAATTACCGAACCGATCGGTATTTTTTTTACAAATTCTTCGGTAACATTTTGGAAGAATGAATTTTTGTTTTACCGAACCTTTCTGTGTTTTTTTGTGGATAATCTGTAAAACCCGTGCTTTTAATAATTTGATTCTTATTAAAGCTACTTTTTCCAGGTATTTTTTCGGCATGACCATGTAAAATTCGATTTTGAGATTTTTTATTTTTTGCGCATATATTTTACTTTTCTCTTTAATTAAGTAGATTTCAATGAATATTAACCCATTTCAATCAAACTATTGAATACTGTGCAAAAACTTGGTGCCCGTTGTGCTGAACTTTTCAACTCTCATTGCAGCCCCTGCGATAAACAATGGCTGTTTACATGGCGGTGCAAGCCAGCAACGTAGCCGGGAACTTGGGCATTGCAAAAAAAAGCAGATTATCGAAGGCTAGAACAAAAGTTCATAATAAAATAAGTGTTTTATATTACTTACGGAAAATACTGATGATCCTTGCGTCCTGTCCATGCAATTTGTCCAAGAGATTTTCCATTTTCGCGCTTTTTCCGATACTTTTACTTTCAGCGGGTCAAACTTTTGAATTGTTTTGCTTTTCAGATTTGACAAGATGGCTGCACAGGGTGCTTACAGAAGTTCGGTGAATAATTACCGATTTATGGTAAATTGCCATTGGTGACAGATAATTCAGTAAAAACATTACAGATTGTTCAGTATTTGTTTTTATTTACAGTATTTCGGTAAGTCTGAGACAAATTGAAGAAAAATAGCTAAGTTTTACCGAACAATCTGTAATATACATTTTACAGATCAATTTCGGTATTTTTGTTTACCGAATTCTGTAAAAAATTCTAAGTGTGTACACCAAAGATGAATACTAAGATGAAACTGTCGGAAGAAAAACTTTCAATTTTAGTGTCCTCTTTCATGGTCCCTTTCATCCAATAAATACCCCCCGCATTCAAAGTAATTTTGTGGTTTTGCTGCCCCCTCAGTAGAGATGAAATTTTGTGCCCCTTTTTATCAAAACAAACACACCAAAATCAGAGATGTCCCATTTTTTAATTACTCGATTAACAACTAATCGATTATTTTTTGTTCGCTGTGCTGCCATTTTTCCACCAATGAGTGTGCAGCACATGTTTAAAACGATCGGTGATGATCCTCTGGAGATGTTAATGCTTATATCGGCACGATATAACCGATTACAAATATTTTACTTTTCGGTTCGTTAATCGATTAATCAATTATTCGAATGAAAATCGTCCATCACTAGATGAATGTGAAACATCATTTCAAATATAAGGAACGTACATAAATAATGATACAATTTGAAAGGGACCGGGGCTAACCACAAATTACGTCCCCACGGTAACTGAAATAAACACGAGTGTTCACCGGTTGGTATCACCACCTGTGGCGTGCATAGTTAATTCCCTTGCGTTTGACGTTTACACACTACTGCCATCTGTTACGCCGTACTGCCCACCACAGTGTGTTCAACAGATGGCGGTAATGTTTTAGCGACGATGTTTACAGTGAGAAATATTCAATGTGTTGTGTCTGTTTGTCTGTGGTGTAATGTTTGCTGTACTCTCCGTGGATCAATTCGCGCTGCGACATACATGAGATGGAACTGGGCCGATCAGAGAGCTGCGCAGCAGCAGTATTCTTGATGAACAACAACAACAAAACATTTGATTTGTCAAAATACAGGGTTGCCAGACAAACAATTATTCACAAAAAAAAGTCAGTCTGTTGACATGGCACTCTTGGTACAGCGCGGCACACTTGAGGCACAGTGAGAAAAATGTTGGCGCAAAATAAGTGTGTAGAGCAGGGGATGGATATGGCTGTCATATCGCTTAAGTTTGCTGCGTACCGAACATCTCCAACGTTGTCAGCGGTACCATGATATGTTTTGTTGTTTTGATGTTGAGTACGTGTATTCAGCTATATGTCAAACCCCTGGTGTAGAGTGACCACCCTTGATTGAACCCAGGCTGCGGTGAGAGGTAATCACCCTTAACACTACACTGATGGGTCGATAGGTAGGGTTATTGTTATTAATGTTCGAATCAACCATCAATAGTGACGTCTCAATGCAGAAATTGTGAAAAAAAAAAAATTGGGAATTCCGAAAATCTTATTTTATGATGCCTTATTCTTATGAAAACTAGCTTTTCAATACATCACCACAAAATGATTTTTTACGACATCGATTCGGACAGAAGTTTCTAGAATGCTTCATAGGAATACCATGCATTGATTCATGGTGAGATAGGATTGAAATGTTTTCTTGCACCGGATGACCTTCTTGCCCCTAGTTCCCCTAAAGTCATTTCGGTAAAAAAAATATACTGAACGCTATTGCAACCTTTACCGATCATTCAGTAAAATTCACAAAGGAAGAAAATTTACTGAACGGTTCCATGTTCGGTAAAAAATTTCAATGTACTGTAAAATATCTTAGTGTGTAGACTCTCTCTAGGGGATAGGGGCAGGCTGCAAAATGTCGACCATACACGGCGATATTTAGGCCTATTCTGCACGGCGTGTGAGGTGAGGTGACAGTGAAGTGACAATTGCCACCTCGAGTGACGTTAATCTCCGTGAAAATTATGTAATGTAATGTGTTTGTGATATAATTAATGCATGGCAATACATTTTGCTGAAGACCGTAGGTATGCGGTTATGTTTTCGGTTTCATGAGTTAGATGTAATTTTTTTCATGATTCTTTTTAAACCGGCATTTATTTTCGGAATAAGTAACTTATAAAAAATCATTGATCATCAATCACTTATTCTTGTCGCCCTTAGCAGCATTGTTCTGGTGTTTGGCATCCATCTTACTGATCGCCTTGAAGACTTTCTTCTTCAACTCCTTTTGACGTTGTAGCTTCCTGAAGTCATTATCGATTTTTTGCTTCTTGTACTTTTCCGACTTTTCCTTCGTCTGCTTCTTTCGTTTTTCTTCCTTTGCTTCGAAATTTGATTTTATCATTTTCATCATCTTGGCCACCTGGAACGCGAAATTTATATGTGTAACGGAAATATCAGAACTGATTATTAGATTATCAGATTATTTACCTTCTGCTCATGGGGAGAATGAACCACCGCAACACGCCCACTTTCCAGCGGCTTCTTCGGATTTATGGCGGCATGCTTGGGCTTGTCCTTGTATGGTAGCGCTTTCTGCAAATTTTTCGGAATTATCAACGGACGGAATTGCAGATCTTGCCTCTCGATTGGTTTGTACGAGCTGTCTTCCTTCGCTTCAAATTGGATGTTACTCTCCCGTTTCAACTGTGCCAACGTTTTCATGCCAACCCATTTGATTTTCTTCTCCGGTGGGAGCAGAAGGTTCGTGACCGGCGCGTAAAAGTTCGGCACATTCACCTTGAACCAGGTACGACAAAAGACAATGTCGCTTAGAACGATTCTATCTTCGAACGTTGCTCGGAAGCTACCTTCCGGTGGAACTGCCTTCTTAATTTGGCCGCGAATTCCGGAGACAGTTTTGATTTTTGCTCCTTCAAATTTGGCTACTTCAAGTGTTGAGTTGAACATTCCTTGAATGAAGGCAGTTTTCTGGTAGATTTTGTTAGGCGTACCTATTAGTTTGAGCTTCTTCATGATTTGGGCAGACTTGTCACTTTCGCTAACTGCTCCGGTTGCGGCAACACGGAATCCAAGTCGCTTAGTTTCCTGCTGGTCGTAAGCAATTGTTTGAATTGCTAGAAAACCCGTATTTTGTGGAGTGATTGGACCCCAAAAAGTCATACTGCAAGTTACATGATTCGGAGTGTACTTCAAATAGCGATGCTTAAGATCGTCTTCTACTTTGGCGTAAATCGGAATGGTCTGGAAACGCCTCCAACCGAGCGACACAATAAGCGGATCGCCGGCCTTGAGAATTTTCTTGTACCATCGATGCTTCTTCACTTTGCAGCTGACGTATCCTACATTTTCTTCGGCCATGTTAAGCCCTCCAATCAGAATAGGATACTGAGCGTCGAAGTGCTCTACGAATTCACTCGGTACATTTTTAAAATTCATACGAATGTACAGACCTGCTCGGTATCCTTCAATATTCAATCGAATATCATTGTCCAAACTGCAAAACTCTTTCTTGTTCAGTTCGGATTGCCGCAAAGCTTCTGCTTTCAATTTCTCATAGTACTGGTGATCTCCTTCAATGTGTTGATCGTCTTTCTCGGGATTATCGTATTCTGAGTCAAACTTTGCTTTCAATTTCATCTTCTTAGCCATCAGTTCAGTCCTGGACATATTCTTCTCTTCTATTCTGGATAACTTCCTTTTCAGAGGGGTTTCTTTATCCTGCGACTTCGACTTATCATTTGATTCATCTTGATTGTCATTTTCCTGTTGACCAATATGCTTTTCACCTGTTTCAAAATCTTCAAAATCTCCATAAACTTCGCTGTCTCCGTCGCTCATATCATCCAACTTCAGGAGCTCCTCGGCATCCTCAGAACCTTTCCACTTTCCAGTTACGAAACAATTCCTAATCAATTTCTTATTCTCTTCCTCTGTCCAATTCCTCACTCCATCAGCATACTCTTCGAAAAAGCAACCCTCATCAACGTCTTGAATGGTTTTCTTCTTGAGCATTTCTGCTTGCTTCTGAGCAACACTTTTGAACAATCCTCCAAGTAGTTCATCGTCCTTATTCTCTTCGTTCTCATCAATGTCTTCAACTTGATCCTGTTCTCGATTCTTCTTAAATTTACTGAAAACACCATAGACAATTTTCATCAGATTCTTGGTGGTTGCTTGTCGCTCCAAGTAATCATTCCTAGCTTTGGATGCCAATCCAATTTTCCACGCCATAGAGCTTGAAGCCACTTCATCCTCACCACCTTCATCATCTGAAGAAAGGAACCCGCTCGATTTCTTTGTTCCGTGCCCATCCGATAGGTCAGTTACGTCATCATCGTCCTCCTCCTCATCGTCGTCGTTCTCTTCATCCTCAGACTGTTCCTCGGGATTCCAACCGGTTCGCGCAGTACGTGGTGCCCCGTCTTCGTCTTCAGACTCCTCGACACCAGAATCTTGATCAATCTCGTCATCATCATCGCTACCCTCGCTGTCCATCCGTTCGTCATCAATCTGGAACAATTGAATGTAACTAACTTAACTCCTTAACTGAACAATTGAAAATACCTGAAATTCGCTGGATTTGATCACATCTCCATCGCTGAACAATCGAAACTCCTGATTTTCGATCTGCACATCCAAAGTTTCCTTTTTCTCGATCACAGAATTTACCAGCTCCTGCTGCTCGCTATTTTGGGTTGCGTTCTTGTGACTATGCGATCCTTGCAACTCGATATAAACTGCATCCTTATCGTACACGATACCACCAACACCGGACATCGGGGCATACAGGAGCCGTTCCTTCTCCAGCAAATTACGCTTTTTCTCCGTCGTGGGCAACGGACACGGATCCGGAAGGCCACTCAGCTCTTCAATTTTCATGTCACCAAGACCAGCGATATGAACCATATTCTCCTTCTTCAAAGGAACACCACGAACATAACCGTACAGAACCACATCTCGGTCGCACTTCGGATTCAGCCGGATCTGCTCGGAATTGGTTATGTCTTCTAGACGATCAGCCAGAATGTAGCTATGAGCGCCTCTCCACGAAAGTGGCCGGAACTTCATTATCGATATAAATCTGCCCAAGTTCTTGATCTCGTTTCTTACATATTCCCCATGGATTATTCCGGAAAGATAGAACAGCTTAGCACCGTCATACACTTCAGTCCAGAACCGGTGCTTCAGTACTTTCTTCTGCATCTTTAAAGCCTTGGCACTCTTTATTGCATCCAAGTGGGTCAGAATACCCATTATTTTCGGCATACCGTGAACCTGGCAGATATTCAAGAATTCGAATATCTCCATTTCGAACCCGAAACTGGCATCCACCATCAGAAGCACCAAATCAGCACATTTCGCAATGTCGATCATACTGTTGATATCGTTATTGCATTCGATCAACGTAATTCTACGTTTTTTCGAAGTGATTATGGTTATAGGACCATTAATGCTATTTACACTGGTTCTAGTGAAGCTCTTGATCAAGTTATTAATCAAGGTTGATTTTCCAACCTTTGGGGGTCCAACAACAGCAATGAGCACTGGCGGCGGTTCCTCCGGAGTTTTGTCGACTAATGGGATGTGCTGCTTCTTAGTTAAAATATCCTCTTTCCTACGAAACCGCTTTTCGGCGCTACGCGCCTTGGTAATAGCAAATGCTTTGACATTTTTGGATTTATCCGTCGGTTTATTTTTGGCCTTTTTCTTGTCGGCTTTTACACCTGCAAATTCAAATCACGAACATGTGGGTTATGATAGTAGGCCAGAGGAATAACAATTCTCATAATTATTACCTGCAAGTCGCTTTTTGTGCGATTTCTGCTTTTCTGTGAAATTCCCGTCATCTGCCATAACATCGACTCAATTGTGTGAACTTTGTACAAGGAGAATAATAATAAATTTCAAGTAATTTCTTCAAAAATCTCTAAAACGATAATCACGAAGTGCACATGGAAACAAATCCTTCAAATGATTTTCAAAACAAATTGAGCTACAGCCAGAACAGCGTTTGTACATATTGAGCACGATGTGATGATGTCAAAGACCCGGTACTGAAAACGTTTGTTTGTTTGTTTGTGTTGTTGTCAGACACGGTAACCAGCGTAAACAGATTAATGTGTAAAATTTCACACATTTCGTGAAAAAAGGGGCCTGCTCATAAAATGTGTAAACTGCGTTTACACATTTATGTGTAAACCCAGCAAACGTCAAAAGAAGTGTATTTTTTACACATTTTTCAAGAACGGTTTTTACAGTAAAATGTGTTAAAAGTAATCATTTCAAGAACTTAAATATAACGGGTGCGCATGAATTTTTATTAACTTCTGCATTTTCTTATTTGTGTCAATGGTAAAATAAAGATTGCTCAAATATAATAATATTTTATTAAAAAAAAAGAAATGCCATCAACAACAATAAGTAGCGGCACCGGAGGTGTGTAAGCGTGAGTACATCTCACCTCAGCAGGCCTGGGTTCAATCCCAGTCGACGCTGCCGGGATGTTCTGAGGCATAACATCTTTGATCGCGGCGAGGATCACGCCTTCCTTCGGAAGGGAAGTGAAGCCATTACCCTAATCAAAAAATTACCATAATCGAATGACAACCCAAATGATTGAACTATTCTACATATGGTTTGGATGATACCCGGAACACGTCGTTAAGCAAAATAACCATAAAAACTTTATTAGGGTAGTCCCTGGTTCATGAGTTGATGGGTCGATAGGTAGGGTCCAGGTATGGGAGCTTCCTCCCTGGCGTCGGTAGCATTGGTGGTCAGCACGGAAAACAAATCAAGGGAAGAAAAACAAAAATCAGTATTTGTTTATTTGTTTATTTGTTATGGTTGCATCAACAGACTAGAAATAGTCCCAATGATGTGTTGTAAAAAATACAGATTATACAGACGACATACATATACTACAGTTACTACAGTTACAAACGAAAATAACTTGGAAAGCATTGTCAAGTTACTAAAAATTTATAAGTCTTAAATTTTACACTTAGCTGTTGGGTATCAAGCGCCTTCGGTCAGCAAAAAAGGCAGAGAATCTTCGGCGAAGCATATTCCGTGTCAAGTGGAAATCGAACATCGACGCTACTCGGTTGAACACTAGCTGCAAGCCGTAAATAGCGCTCCCTATGCTATAATTAGTTCGAAGAAGTGGAAGTCTCAGCATAAGACTGTTGCGTAGTGATCGAGGTTGAACATTAATGTTCACTTGTTGCAGAATTGCTTCGCAGTCAATTCTTCCTTGCAGAGTATCGGCGACGGTTAAGGCTCTGAAAACATCTCTTCGGATACGTAAGGGCTCGATATTGATCAATTGGCAGCGATTCTCGTAGCTTGGAAGACGAAGTGGGTATCTCCAAGGCAGCTTACGGAGCGCGAAGCGAAGAAAACGTCGTTGAACAGTCGTTATGAATCCGTGTTGATCTGTACTTAGATATTGCCTGCAATGCGCATTTAGGGACTCTATGACAACCAATTCAAAAAGTTTTGATACAGCACTCAGCGATGTGATTCCTCGGTAGTTGTTTACGTCGCGTTTGCTTCCCTTTTTATGAACAGGAAACATATCCGCAGTCTTCCAGCAAGACGGAAAGATGCCGCTGGAAAGAGAGAGCTGGAATATGCGGCGCAGTGGATCTAAAAGACAAGTGATGTTCTTTTTAAGAATAATCGACGGAACACCATCGGGTCCAGCCTTAGTTGAAGTCTTAAGTTTAGATGCTGCTCTAGAAATCGTATCTGTAGTGGCTTCGACCATGCTGAGCGTTTGGTTGATCAAAGGAACATTACTGGCCGCGGAAGTAATGATATTAGCGGAGAGTTGCTCGGCTACAAACACACTAGCAAATTTGGCTGAGAACAGGTTGCAAATGTCTTGTTGATTTCCAGCAGTTTCACCATTAAAAATCATGGAAGAGGGTAAGCCGACTTCCCTGCGTTGCTCATTTACGAAGTTCCAGAAGGATTTCGGGTGTGATTTTAGCCGCCGTTGAATCCTCCTTTGATAGCGTTGAAAACAGAGACGACTTAACCGCTTATACTCGTGGTTGAGTCTGACATAGTAGCATTTCAGTGGCAGTGTGCGGAGTTTAGTAAATCTTCTGAGAGCAGCCTTCTTAGTTCTTTTCAACGAGCGAAGATCTTTCGTCATCCACGGGACGCGAGAGTCGATATGGATGATCTTTTTGGAAACGTGTCTGTCAATGACATATGCCAAGACGTGAGAAAAGGTTTGTGCAGCAATGTTGACGTCTACAGGATCTAGAATATGCTCCCAATCTAGATTAGACAGCACATGGACGATACTGCAATGGTCAGCTCTACGGAAGTCATATGACACAGCGTTTGGAGTGCTGGTGAAATCATGGACAATATTATTTTCGATCACGATAACTAAAGCAGGGTGATGATGCACTACCTTGACTAAAGGTTCGGGTGCCGTGGAGAGGAAAGGAGCTGTATCACGAGCACTCACAAAGCAGAGATCCAGGGTGCGGTTGTTTTCATTCAACAGGCCATTGATTTGTGACAGAATTGCGGTACTATAACTGTCCAGGAGCTGGATGGTTCCTACGTGGAAAGATGAACGCTCGTGATCAGGACAAAAGAAACCACTATGGGTTGGAGTCCATGCAATGTCCGGTAGGTTAAAATCGCCAAGAACAATAACTTCGTCGGAAGGGCCTGCTTTGTCTGAAGCGGCCAAGACGGATCGACAATGTGCGTCAATAAGCTCCAAGTCACGGGTTCGATCTGGAGGAATGTACACTGCACAGAGAAGCAATTGACGATCACCAAGTTGAATAGCCACCCACATTTGTTCAACCCTGTTCCAGGAATCGTCCTCGATAACTTCTGCTTTCAGCTTGGAATTAACTGCGATAAGGACGCCTCCCCCAGTAGTTTTCCTACTATTATTCGTGTTTCGATCGACAGTATATGAAGTATATAAACTAAACTAAAACTAAAAGCTATGAAAAAAGTATACCTACCCTCTAGCATGTCAATCGTTGCGCACAGTTCAGTTTGGACCGTAGTTCCTCCATTTTCCTGCGGTTCTTCACTGAAAATTTAGCAAATGGTGTACCTCAACAAAGCAGGATGCAGCAAAGTTTGAAGTTTTTTTTTACCCATTAATGAGTATAAAAATACACATTTTTTGACTGGTACTACATTCTTAAAATGTGTTTTTTTTACCCATTTTAGGATCTCCAAATTTACACATTTTTTGACAGCTGCATATAAATATAAAAAAATGTGTATTTTTTTACTCATTTATGTGTTTACGCTTGTTACCGTGTAAGAGGGAAGGGATGCACATGGTAACCAGCGTAATCACATTAACGAGTAAAAAGATACCCATTTTTATGTATACATATTTCTACTCATTCCCGTAAATTTAGAAAAATGAGTAGAAATAACAGAAACTATACATCTAGACCAACAATTGAAATAGGCGGAACAACCAAACGTAAACAATGGCTTTAAACGCAAATTCCTCGAGACTCAAAGCACATTCAATAAATCTAACACCATCATCTGATAGAGCAAACTTCCTTTATCGAATGGCTTTGTTAGTTTACGTGGGAGTGTTTTGATTATCGAGAATTTTGTGTTTAAAGCCATTGTTTACGTTTGGTTGTTCCGCCTATTTCAATTGTTGGTCTAGACATGTCTAAGGGTTTTTTGTTTTTTTTATAAGCTGGGGAGGGACGTGCTGTCAAATCAGCCTACTGATCATTCTTGTATGAAATTGGTTCCAAACGTAAACAAACCCTGTAGGTTTCTTATGGCTTGTTTACGTTTGGAACCAGTTATGCGAGGTAGGCGACGATTGTTCGTATTTGACAGCCACCTCCCCCCCTTGGTCATAAGAGGGAAGGGATATACACGGTAACCAGCGTAATCACATTAACGAGTTAAAAAATACCCATTTATTATGTTTACATATTTCTACTCATTCCCGTAAATATTGAAAAATGCGTAGAAATAACAGAAACTATACATGTTTTAGGGTTTTTTTTATAGAGATTTTCACGTCCGGTTGTATTGGTGTGATATGTGAGAGCGTGTTAGTGAATATCTGAGGAAAATACATGACAAATCGATGTGACATGGTTTTGTAATGTAATTTCCTCGGATATTCACTAACACGCTCTCACATATCGCTTCAATACAACCGGACATTAAAATCTCTACACTGAAACAAGGACCATAGTTAGAAGTACTATTTTGCAGAAAACACTTATTATCAATATAACCACGCTTATTACTGTTAAATCTACTATGAATTCAGTATAGTTGCCTATGAATGTTAACAAATTTACTATGATTCTGGCAAAACTACTATACATGCTCAAAATGCATAGTGATTTTGATAGAAATAATAGTAAAATGAAATGATTTTGTTTTCTGCAAAAATCTATTGGTCAGAGTATTTAATTTAAACCAGCAATATAGCATTTTTGCCAATGAATTTTGTTTCAGTGTAGTCCCGGGTTCAGCCCAATAACCCAAATTTGAGTAAATCGCATGCACTGTAACTGGAAAGTACACATTAATGGGTGAAAAAGTGACCATTTAAATGTACAGTAGATATTGACGAATCCAACTTTAATTAATGCACGCCTGGTGACAGGAATAAGCACTATCCGACGGTGATCAGCTAGTGACAGCCCTTGGAAATTTCATTATTTTTATGGAAATTTGTTAAATTACAGTGCTAGTTCGTGTAAATATGCTGTTAAAATGAATGAATCTTGTACAAAACCTTAAAAACTATTGTGATATGTGTCGATCCTAAAATAAAAATTACTAGTTTTCAAATAAAATTGAAAAAACATGATGAGGTTATGGACATGGTTATGTTAACAGCCAAACCACATCGATTAATGTTGATATGGAGACGTGACAAACCAAATCAAATAAAAATAGAAAAGAGCCCCTTTTAAAATGTATTCCAATACAGGCATCCGATGCTGGTTATTGGTTTAATACGGTAGGATTGTATTCGGATATGATTTGCAACCATCGATTGAAGCAAGCAAGAATTTCGTTGGTTTTATCATGTTAGTTCTACGATTTTTATTTTATTTCAATGCTATTTCAATAATCTAGCACTTAAATATCTAATTCTACTTACCAGAGAGATTCTACTTATGCCAGAGAAGAAAGGGTTTCCGCTCGGTTATATGCTTGGTGATCAGGCAAACTATCCAGGCACTTTTGGTTCTGCCTTTGTTGTCCCGCTCGTCTGAATCTACCAAACCAGGCGTGATTACCTCCTAATGGTTTCGCAGCGGATTCAGCTATAAGAAAGATGATGTTCCTGTGGATGGAACAATATATTGTTTTGATTGCTTCAATATGTAAAATTGTTATAACAACTCACCTCAAACAGTCAATTTCCAATGGGATGATCCTTCAGTATTGCATTCTCAGTTTGAATACTGTAAGAAAATTGTTAACATTATTTGTTGATGTTTTGCTGGGAGCAACCTATTTTTCATTTTGAAGAAATCTCAATGATTTTGCATTTAAAAATTAGGATTTACTTACCATTCTTACCGGCGCTACTTTTCTGTTCATATTTGCTTTCTGTTATTGAATAAAGCAATTACAATAACACGTAAAACATAGTTTTCTTATCACAAACTTGAAAATATATGCAGTTTGACAGATGATCTCAAGTTTCACCGCTACGATTACAGCGCCGCGGTGGCCGGCATAAACTTGGATTTGTCAATACTCATTAAATGGGTAAAACTAAAGAGCCTGAATTTATAAAAAGACGACATGTCAAAATTGGAACAATCGATTATCTGTCAAAGTCATAGGAAAAGTCATTCCAATCGAGCAGAAGACCTGTCAAATGGATAAGATGTCGCCTCTTTATAAATTCAGGCTCTTTAGGTAAAACGTATCTACCCATTAATGGATTAAGAGCTTGTACACTCAAAAATATTGAAATCTAAATAGTATAAAAGTTACGCTAAACAGCAACTCTCCGTACCGACGCTAAGGTCGGTATAAAGGGAGAGAATGCAAACTTAGTATAAAAATGGTTTATGCGTGCCATAGTATAAAATCGAAATATACTTTCAATGCATAGATACGGTTTATTCGAGAGAACGTATTTTTCGCTTCTTTATTTATTTATGGAACATATGATTGTTTTCAAATAAAAATAAAAATTGTCTCAGAAAGCTTTTTTAATTAGTTTATTTTTTTATGAAAATTATTTAAAAAAAAAATACTTACAATTTCGATGCTGCCCAGCAAATCACAGTCTCAGTAGAAATCCGCCGGGACAAAGCTCTTCACCAGCACGAAGCTCCGAAGGGAATCCAGATGGTCTTTTTCCTGTCATTTTAGTAAACACTGACCGAATTCCACTTCGTTATTCGGACTTAGTATAGTTTTGAGGAAAATTTTAATCGAACCAATGTATACATTTTGAAAAACCATAAAATGCATAAAATTTAATCTATATCCGTTTTGTAATATTTTTGAGTGTACGTCAAACCATTGGGTACTTTTTTACCCATTTTTTAATTGTGAATGGCTTTATAAATTGGGTACAAAGTACCCATTTTTATACATTTTTTAAGCAGTTTTTTTTTTAATTATGGATTATTTAATGAATGGGACACAATGAATAATCAAGAACACAACATTAGCATAAGCAATGAGTAACTGCAGTTTCTTCCAAATCTGAGTAAATTTCGTATGGAAAGAAAATTTTCTGAGTCAATTATTCTCAGTCGCTGAGTTGGTATGATTGGCCGTGTATAAAGTGCTATTACCGAGGCTATACACGGTAACCGCAAAATACCCAATATTGACTACTAAGTAAACATTTTCGATGGAAACTGGGACTACCCATTAAATGAGTAAAATTTTACCCATTTATGAGTAATTACAACTACAAAAACAAGTAGTAAGTATTCATTTTTGAGTAGCAAGTACTCATAAATAGGTAATATATTTACTCATTGAATGGGTAGTCCCAGTCTCCCTCGAAAATGCTTACTTTGTAGTCATTATTGGGTATTTTGCGATTACCGTGTAGAGCTTTTTGACGTTTAATCGGAGCACACTACTGTACACGCTAAGATGCACATACCTTAAAGTCGGTAAAGAATACCTAGAAATCGGTAAAAATTACCGATAATCGAAGAAAGTGCACATACCTAAATTATCGGTAATCATGGATTACCAATAATTAACGTTAAAAATTACCTAATTTATAGTAAAATATAGCCTAAATATTTATAGTAAAAAGTAACGATTTTTATCGGTAAAAAATACCGATAATTTTTTACCGATAATTTTAGGTAATGGTAGCTAAGAGTGTACCATTTAAAGCGAACGAGTGCGAGCAAGAGGGAAACAGATTAGTGGGAAAACAAACCGTCCATTCATCCATGTGTGCTAGATAGAGAAAGATGATTAAACGTCAAAAAGGTCAATTGAGTTCTCCAAGCAGGATCTCATGGACACTACACTAATAACATAATTTAACACACACTAGCGTATACTGTCATGTGCACGGTAAGAATCAAACATCCATTTATGAGTAAAAGTGAACCCATTGTCAATAAAAGCGGCACCACTAATTAATGCCACCTTCATCAAAAATTGGTTAACCTTTACTCACAAAAGGATACTTGACTGTTACCGTGCAGGCGTAGGGTTTGTTTGCGTTTCGTTGTTTATTTTTACTTTAGAATGACAGTTCTTACAGCAAACAAAAAAATTCTCACAGCTAACAAAAAATTTCATCTCACTAACACACGCAAATCGCACCAATACGAACCCGCCTGGAGAGGACTATTACTCTAGTGCTGGCTGACACTGCTGTTTATGCAGTTCCGTCCTGCGATCTTTTCATCACTCGTTGAAAACCTCGTGGAAAACATGGTGCTTGGCTAGCTCTCCTGGGATCTCCTTGCTGATGGGGTTAGTTTTGTCCCTGCAAGATTACTGTTTAGATGTGAGCAGGAATAATTAAATATGTACTTACTTTTTAAACAATTTCCGGAGCAATTTTTGACACTTTGCGACTGAAGCGAGGAGTGAAAGATGATCTAAGTTGCTTTTCACACATTAATGAGTAAAAAAGTACTCATTATTTTCGTCAGAGGTGAACTGACAACTACATATAGTAATAAAAAATTGGTACTTTCTACCCATTAATGGGTACACGCCAGTTACAGTGTATAGTACGTTGTTTCCATGTAACACCTAAATTACTTACTCTTAAAAGTATATTCTACCCAAAATTAAGTTTAATTCACGTTAATTTGAGAATATTCAATTGACTAAAAAATGACTTATTGAGCTGAACTATATCGTTGGGTCGAATCTTTCGTTCCTTTTAATTCCTTTTTAATTACCCGAAAAAAAATAATTATAATATAACAACAAAATTACAATGATTTTTACTGTTGAATTTCGTGTACATTAAAATTTATTGTTAAATTATTGTACGGGAGAAAAAATAAATTTCGATTTTTAACGATACAATGCTCAAACAATGAAAATTAGTGTGAAGAGATCAAATTTGTTCCAAAAAAATCACTTTTTTTTATTGTTAAGATGCTTAACAACCCCCCTTTTTTACTGTAAATTTCTCAAATACCATGTTTTTCATTGTTATGAACCATGAATTTCGTTGTGATTTTATGGTAATTGACAAAAATGTCCAATATTTTGACAGTAAATATCATTGTTACAATGACAATGAAAATCATTGTATTTTTATTGGATTTTTTTTTACGGGTAAGTATAAAGAACTCAAATTTTGGGTAGTATATTTTCTCCGTGTACAAACTCTGTTTTTCTTAAACCATAATAAATTTTCAGATGCGGGTTGGTGTTTGACAATCAAGAGTTTGACGTTCGACAAAAAATAAAAAAGCGATGCGAAATTAGATTATCGGACCGAGACCGTCGTACGAGGCGTTTTGCAGCTGCACTTGTTTAATCCTAAAATTTTGGTTAAAGTGGAGTTAAATCATAGATCCCAAGTTGTATTTTGCACAAATTTGATCGGATAATCCTGCAGCAATGGATGATGGAGACTTTGATCATGACGAGTGAGTATTTTGAGCAATTTTTGTGCGGCACACATAAACTAACCTTACAAATACTCCATCCGAATTTCCCAGCGTCGGAGGAGACGAATTCGACGATGTTGAAGAGGATGATAACATTGATGAGCTGAATCAGGAGGAAGATGGAGATAACATCGAGCTGATAACGCACGGCCAAGCAGGAGGGGGTGTCCCTAAATCGAAACGGATTACTTCTAAATACATGACCAAGTACGAAAGGGCTCGTGTTCTGGGGACCCGTGCACTGCAGATTGCAATGTGCGCTCCAATTATGGTGGAACTGGAAGGAGAAACCGATCCCCTGCAGATTGCGATGAAGGAATTGAAACAGCGAAAGATTCCCATCATTATTCGCCGGTTCCTGCCGGATTCTTCGTATGAAGATTGGAGCATTGACGAGTTGATTATTATCGACCATTAAGAAGTTCAAAATATGGATGTGTTAATGTATGATTTTATATTTAAGAAATATAGTTAAGGAAATCTCAAATAAAATCCTTTAATGATTACATGTAGTGATGTATAATAGCCACAGCTTTATTTGATTGTGATTATGCATGTAGTATTTCGTGGTTGAGGCTTTCGCCTCATAAAATGCGTTTTTATTTCAGTGACATCAATTGCTGAAATCAATCTTAGGGTTGATGCATATATTATGTCACGCTCTAAAGGGGGAGAGGGGGTGTAAGATTTTGTGACAAGCAATGCATTAGGTATAAGAAAAACGTCACGATAGGGGGGGAGGGGGTAATTTTTCGCTCGATTTAGCGTGACATAATTAATGCATGGGCCCTTACTATTACTATTTTTACCATAATTTAGTTATTTATATGAAACCTGGAAATATATGATGGATATTCGGAAAAAACGGGAATTTAAATTCAACGTTGTATTTTTTTTTGTATGGTTTGAACGAAAACAAAAATATGTGTGACTGAGATCTGTGTTGGGATACACTTGATGAAAGAAAGAAAGAACAACAAAATCAAGTTAATAGATAGTAAATTTATCCAGAATTTGTGTAGTGTTGAGTTAAAGTTGAGATTCAATTAACTCCACGTGTAGCCTCCCTCCTCTTTACAGTAAACCAATCGCTCCAATTCGTTAACCGAATCCTTACTGGCTCTGCACATGGTTTCTAGGATGTGTTCCGAGAGTCCACTATCCGAAAGGTTTTCTTTCCACAGCACCTGATCGCCAATAGCCGTAGCTTCATTCTCTTTGTCGGCATCGTCAATAATCTTTTGGGAAACTCGACTGAAAACAGTTGTATTGGGCACAGTAACCAATGTAGTGCTGAAGTTATCTTTCGTCTCCGTTAATAATCCGCAAATGTAAGGCAGCACATGTGGCAGGATTACACCTTGCAGTTCCGTGCTATGGTAGTCCTCACCATCCATTCTAATTTTGCTCGAGCGAGTTGTTAGCGTTCGCAAGGTAGCTCCTACAAATGCCACCGGGGCTATTAGGGTTGGAGGAACGCCTGCTAACCGTCCCACTTTCGCAGTAGAGCTTTTAGCATTTAGTAAAAAGTTAAAGAATGCTTGGCATTCAACGCCTTCGATAAGAACCGTAGACTGGTCACTGTAGTCGTCATCGCATTCACGACTCTGTAGCTTCTTCGATTGGTTATAGTTGATCTTTTTGATTTCGTCCGCTTCGACTCCTAAACTCTCAAGCCATTTCTCTTCTTCCATATCATCGTCGTCTTCCTCCTCGTCATGGCCTTCGTCTGTAGGTGCGTTCTGGAATATTGAATGATTTACCGTCTTCTTCTGCTTTTTGAATTATTTCTGAGAAAACACTTACCGTCGATTGCTCCTCCGATGAATTCGAAAAACTTCCATTGTGAACGCTGATACCGGACTCTGCCGATCGATTCAGCTCCTGTTTTTCCGGTGTTTTTTTAAGCGGCATACTGAATTCTATGTCCTCTTGTTTCAAGGCTAATCGCATACCGCGGGAAGTGGGCGTAAGCAGTGCATGCGTTTCGACACGTCCACCGATTCCAGCTGCTCGGAACAGAACTGTGAAACTGTTGGCACACACATAAAAGTACGGGCACTGTCTGGAACGAACCAGTTGAAAAAGGTTCTGAAAACTAACGGCCCATTCCTTCCCTAGGGCAACTCGTTCAACTTCACCGAGCACGATTCCATGGTTGGATTTTGAGTTTCTTGGGAATAGTGTCAACCAGGGTAGATGAGGATGCTGCCAGTACAAGGTACTCTGGTAGAACCTCGCTCCAGGCGAAATGTCTAATCCTACTGACGAGTCCTTTATTCCGATGCAGCGAACAAAGGAAGTAAGCCCACTGGCTTCCTGGTTCGTTCGGAGGTTATTCCCAGGGAGTGATGATTTGCAAACAATACGCAATCGGCTTTTGATTCCCCAGTGGATTGGAAGATGCTTGCTGGGTTTCTGCTGTATTTCTGGAGCCTTTTGTTGGTCTGTACTAATAACCAATTGGTGCTGTGGATCTACAAGGAAACGTGGTTCTAGTGGTTTTATAACGGGAGTGTCAATCAGGAGTACATCTCTCGGAGTTGTTTTGTGCAACAATTCCAAAATACTTTCATCGTTATTGAGATCCGGATCAAATGATTTGTGCTTCTTGGTTGAATTGTCATCATTTCTGGGAACGAAAAAAGGCCAGATATCAACTTCTTCCACCATTCATTAGCATGATGTAGAATACTTACATTGAGAATGGATTCTTTCTTTTCTGATTGCCTGCAAAGGGATTCGGTTCTTGCTGGCTGCTGGAGACATCGGAGCTTGATTTTCCAGATGGTCTTTGAATGCGTGCTTGCAATGCTTTCTGCTTTTGCTTAAGCCGCTGCAGTTGAAGAATTTCGTCCGGTCTTTTCCACTGGCTCATGATTAGAAGCTTTTTAAACTATTTCTTTTCACTATCTTACTACTAATAAATTTTTCTTCAATCACTTTCCCGTGTGTTGGGATCCTTGGGATCACGTCGGCAGAAAGTGCGCATTTTTGTTTGTTTACACTCCAATGACAGGTGGATCAACTGCGCAGCGATGCCAGATAATATGTTCACGGTGTTTCGCGAAAACCCAATAATGGGTAAAAAATACCCATTTCAGCTAAAAGCGCCCCTCCTCATTTAATGGGTTAACTCAGGATCAATAATAGAAAACTCGCGTCACTTTTCAAATAGACCAATGTAACAAATGTAAACAAATCGAGTTAAGCTATACAAACTATTACCACAAACGAAGTGACAGACGACTAACCGGCGAAGAAATCCATTTAAATAATGTGGTTCACTGTAATAGAATTTTCTTGGAAGCTTGTGCCATTATCCACCTGATGGGTTAGTTTTTTTGTTTTGATTTGAACAAAGTTGATTTTGTGTACAATGATTCTTTGACAGTGTGCAAAGAGTGCGTATCATTTTGTCATTTTTTTATGCATTTCAGTTTTGAGTAGAGTGAAAGAGATAGAACCAAAACATTCTAGTACATTTGGTGAAAATACTAGTTCAATCTAGTAGTAGCAACAATCAATACAAAACTAACAATTTTAAATTGGCTCACCACTTTAGTAGCCTATTGGTCCCAAGCAAACGATTAACGTACCCTATTCTAGTCGAAATTCTAGTACTACGCAATGTTTGTTTTGATTCGCTATGAAAGTTTGACAGATAAAATGAGGGGTTATTGGTTTTACCTATGTTTCGAGGGGTGAATCGATTAGCTTGGGACCGAAGAGAGTACCAGAGCTGAGCCAAAAAGTTGAGCACGTTATTTCGGGACCTTCTAGTCTTAGAGTTACCTCTATGCTATTACCATAGAGGTAACTCTAAGACAAGTAGGTCCCGAAGAAACGTGCTCAACTTTTTGGCTCACCTCTGGTACTATCTTCGGTCCCAAGCTTGTCGAATCACCCCTCGAAACATAGGAAAAACCAATAACCCCTCATTTTATCTGTCAAACTTTCATAGTGAATCAAAACAAACATTGCGTAGTACTAGAATTTCGACTAGAATAGGGTATGTTAATCGTTTGCTTGGGACCAATAGGCTACTAAAGTGGTGAGCCAATTTAAAATCGTTAGTTTCATATTGATTGTTGCTATTACTCTTCTATCATTGTATGTGATACAAAAACATCCATCCAAATTTACTTTCATTCATTTGAGATAATCATTGATCAAAAATTGTCCAATGTACAGTTTGAAATGATGGGTATATGATTGTTACTTCGGTCATTCGGACTGCCTAACATGATTGGTGCTCATTTTCCAAAGGCGGTACCAATCTAAAGTTAGGTACTATACTCTGAAATCTGTGAAAGGGAATCTAGTATCATGTAGACAAAACGTCCAATGTAACACTCATTGATTATGTCAGTGAGAAAAATCGTCCAATGTAACATGTCCGATGTACATCTTGACTTGCCAAAACGTCCTATGTGGTTTTTTCTATGTTGTAGCATGAAATTCAAAGTAAAATTGTGATTTTACCGTTTCTTCTGAATTTTGAACGTTTTAATACACTGACTACATTAAAAATAGTATTGCAAAACGTATTGTTTTTAAACAGTTAAAATAATAATCTGTCGAACTTCAACTTCGATTTTCTCAAAATGGTGGATATGTTACATTGGTCTATTTGAAAAGTGACGCGAGAAAAGGGACAACAGCATTTGTAAACAAACCGTTCCAAAGCCCATTCCTCACAAATCGAAGGCAGCCCACACAAACCAACACCATCATCGTGTAGGTAGAAGTTTCCCCTACCCGATGATGGTGTTGGTTTGCGTGGGTGGCCATCGCTTTGTGAGTAAAGGACTTTGGAACGGTTCGTTTACAAATTCTGATGGGCCCTTTTCTATTTTTGATCCAGAACTATGGTATATGGGAGGTCTGTCAATAAAAAGGTGATTTTTTTACCGTTTTTTACCCATTTTCTTAAAATGTGTTTACCGTAATATGTGTAAAAACATACCCATTTGTTCAAATGGAGGATGCAGGCGCTTGGTTATTTGTGTTCCGATCAAATAGCATTACACGAAATATTATAATACCATATTGGATAATCAGTATTGACTTATCCGTAAGCCTCTCCAACGTTTCGAAATCTAACCTTTTCCAGAGATCGTCCATTTTCGCAAACAAAGCTGCGGACAGTAAAGGGCCACCCGCATTAGATCCGGATCTGACGCGTTCCGGCAAAGTGACAGCCTAACGAATCGGTGACGGAAATGAGACGATAAAATTTCAAAGTGTTTTCCACCCATTAGTGGGCAAAAAATATGCCCACACGCAAAAAAAATTATCGTTGAAACTAAAATATTTGAGGTAAATTTAAATGTAAACTCAGTTTGTTCTGGCCACAAAAATAAACTAGGTTTATTTCAAACGTATTCCATGTTGGAAGTCATGTGATATCAATGTTTAAAATAAAAATAATGTTACGTTTACTTTAAAAATATTCGAGTTGAAAATAAACGTGAATATTTTTGTTTGATTTGACAATTTTTAGGCTTTTCATTTTTAAAACAACAAGTAAAACAAACATGCATATTTTTCAAATTATGTTAGTATTTGAATGCGTGACAAAGCAAAATAAAATGGATAACAAATCAATTGAAAAAAGACCTGCAGGCAGGCAGGATTGCTTCCACTCACTAGCTATAAAAAAATATTTTTCGGAATTATGCAATAATGATATGTTGTACGTGTAAGTAACAAGAAGAGGGTGTAAAGTACCCGCATAAACGCGAACCATAAATTGACCTTACCTAAAATGGTTAAAAATTGTTTATAATCCCTGCTAAACTTTAACTGAAATGGTTATGGAACTTTACATGAACGTTTAATGATAAAGTTTCAACCTTATGTATTATGGTTTTTTTGGAACTGTACCTTACAAATAATGGGTTGTTAAGAACCATTACCATTCCAAATTCTTGTTTTCTCCATACATTTTCAGAAAGAGAACTATATAAGAACGTTTTTACTTATGATTTGAGAACATTAATGGTAATGGTTATGGTAGTCAGTAAGGTCCATTAATGGTTTTGTATTATCGCTCAACTTTACGTGGAATATATCGTGAATTGGTAATCAGTAAATTACAGGCAACCAATTCGCGATATATTCCACATAAAGTTGATCGATGTTACAAAACCATTCGTGGACCTTACTGACTACCATAACCATTACCATTAAAGTTCTCAAACCATAAGTTAAAAGGTTCTAATATACATAGTTCTCTTTCCGAAAATGTATGGAGAAAACAAGAATTTGGAACGGTAATGGTTCTTAACAACCAATTATTTGTAAGGTTCAGTTCCACAAAACCATAATACATAAGGTTGAAACTTTATCATTAAACGTTCATGTAAAGTTTCATAACCATTTCAGTTAAAGTTTAGCAGGGATTATAAACAATTTTAAACCATTTTAGGTAAGGTCAATTTATGGTTCGCGTTTATGCGGGTATGTGTTTGACTCATAAAATCTGTGAATTCCACTTTCAGAGCGTCACAATCAGCGATATTATGATTCGTGAGCGTTCACTCAGAGTGAGCGCTCACGAGTCGTAAAATCGCTGATTGTGACGCACTGAAAGCAATATTGACAGATTATATGTGTCAAACATATACTTCATGACCTCTTCTTGTAATTTACAAGTACTAATTAGCATTATGCTATTTCATGATTTCATAATTCCGAAAAACATTTTTTTATAGCAAGTGAGTGGAAGTAACCCTGCAGGCAGGGCATCTAAATGCCAGCTATTTTTGGGGGTCGATTAAGGGTGGTCTATGGGTGATCCTGGTCCGGGATCTGGGTATCAGAAACGACTGAGTGACTTTGTTACTTTAATACAAACATAAATATTTTTGTTGAAAACATTTGTTTATTTACTTTAAATTATTCATATGTTGTATAAATATTTATATTTTTGATTTAAATGAACAAAATATGGTTTGACATGTTTTGACTTTAATTCAAACATATATATTTTTGTTGCAAACATGTTTTTAATATATTTAGAATCATCGTATGTTTGTAGAATGAACATTTATATTTTTGATTTATATGAACAAAATTCGGTTCCTTGTTTGATAATCCATGATTACCGATAATTTAGGTATATGTACTTTCTTCGATTATCGGTAATTTTTACCGATATCTAGGCATTCTGTACCGGCTTTGAGGTATGTGCATCTTAGGCTGTGAACTATTTGCTGAATTAAATTTAACTCGTGGTTAAAAGTGACATTTCGAAAGTTATTTACTATGTTCGAAAATCCCTGTGCTCCCTGACCGGTTTTCGAGAAGAACTTAGCCAAGGTTGTCAAAATTTAACTTCTTGTCTGTCAGAAGTAGCCACGCTCGGATAGCAGGGTTAATCGATAACTTTCCATCTGTCAAATTTTAACCAAAAGTTAAAATAATCCACCCAATGGTTCAGAGCCTTAGCGTGCACGTAAACCAACAACATCATCGGGTTAGGGAAATTCTCTGGTCTGTATATCTGGCACCTCTGAACTGCAACCAGCTGTTCCATTTTATTTTCATTGGGTCCAATAGGATGTATGTGGTTCCACCTAGTGGCATTTTCAACCGAACCTTGAGTATTAACCTAATTTGATTTCGGTTTGTTTACAAGCTGCTGGAAATAGTGTTAAATTAAGTAGATGACGCTAGATGTCAACACAGTTGTCAGAAGGAAAATTATTGCAGTGGAAGCGCATGGTGTTTTACATGTTTTTAACAACGTTGAGCAGTTCCAGCAGAAAAAATCTTGACCTTCTCCGATTTGCATTAAACCAAATATTCTGTAATAACAATATAGTTCACTATTGAGCGATTCTTTTAAATTTTTTGATGAACCTTTAACGATCAAGTCGAAACTTTGCACAGTTGTTTGTTATTGCTCAACATGCCTTTTTACGCATTTGGTTCATTAGTTTTGT